CTTTGGTTGCCATGGTCCGTCCATACTAATCTGACCGGGTCAGGATATAAATCCATAGCCATTTCCACCTCTCATCGAAATAGTTTGTCCTTGATCTCTAAGGGAATCCAGCCTCCAATCCACCTCCCTCGCTCATCTCAGTCCAATCCTCCCTTTCAAATACGCAAAACACCCTCATAGTGTTTGCATTGGACATCAGGCACCATGGTTCGCGCTTCATCCTACCTCGGATCCCTTGCCGTCCTCGCCGCCTCGGCGATGGCCAAGGAGATCCAGATGAACGATGCCATCTCGGCTGAGTTTTACGACTCTGGCAAGGTCCACGAACAGGTCATTGCTGCTAAGAAGGTAAGTTCAAAACTCCAATGATCACCACGAGAAATGGGACTGACGAAAAATGCCAGGCCGAATTCGCTCGCCAGAGAGAAGCTGGTGCCTACAACAGTGAGGTCTGGCCCGAGTTGGGTTACACTCCTTGTGTAAACGGTTGGGCCGAGGCCGTCGTTGGAGACAGGAACAACACCTTCAGGTGCCACAACGTAAGTTCCCACCAGAAATATGGCTTTTCCCGAGACACTCGAGTAACACATTCTAGGCCGACTTGTACTCCTTCGTCAGCCACGCTGCTCTTGGTGGACCCCTTGCTGAGGGTTCTTCCTCGTGGGGATGGACCAACGACGATGGTCGTGAGTTCGTCGCCATCGGCCAGTACGAGGGTACTGCTTTCGCCGAGATTCTCTCGGACGGAAAGCTCGTCTACCTTGGACGCCTGCCCCAGTACTCGGCGCCGTCCGAGTGGCGCGAGATCCGCTCCTACAAGCACTACATGGTCATCGGCTCCGAGGCCGTCGGTCACGGCATCCAGATCTTCGACATGAAGAAGCTCTTGGACATTGACCCCGCCAGCCCCGTCGTCTTCGACGCCAAGGCTGACTTGACCGGTCACTTCAACGCCCTCCTGCCTCTGGGCCGCGCTCACAACGTTGTCATCAACGAGGAGCTCAACTACGGTGTCGCTGTTGGTGCCGCGCCCCGTACCGACCCTCTTTGCGCCGCTGGTCTGAACTTCTTCGACCTGACGGACCCCTCCAACCCCGTCTCTCTGGGTTGCGCCAAGGACGATGGGTACGTCCACGACGCTCAGTGCTTGGTCTACCGTGGACCCGATAAGCGCTACCAGGGCCGTGACATCTGCTACGGCTACAACGAGGATACCCTCACCATCTACGACGTTACCGACAAGGCCAACGTCACTAACATCATCTCCCGTATCTCTTACGAGGGTGCCTCCTACACTCACCAGGGTTGGGTCCTTGATGTGAACAACCAGGAGTTCCTTGTCCTCGATGACGAGCTTGATGAGGTGAGTCGATTAGTTAAATTACTTTGTTTCTGCATAAGCTAATCTGACATCAAAGGTTCGCGGCAACGGCCCTGGCGGAGATGGCTACCCTGTCACTTTCATCTGGGATATCAGAGACCTCGAAAACCCTAAGCAGACCGGAGGTGAGTTTCACAGACTATATATCCAAAGTTATGTCTGCAAATCTAACAATGTCACAGAGTTCAAGCACCCCACCAAGGCCATCGACCACAACCAGTACGTCATCGACAACTACATCTACCAATCTCACTACGGCGCCGGCCTCCGCGTCCTCGACGGCACTTCCATCCCCACAGACCCCACCGGCGCTGGTGTCTGCGAGGCCGCCTACTTCGACATCTACCCCGAGGACGACGACTTCGAGGGCGGCGGCTACGTCGGCTTTGTCGGCACCTGGTCCTCGTACGCCTACTTCCCCTCGGGCTACATCTTCATCAACACCATCGAGCGCGGCGCCTTCGTCGTCAAGTTGACCGGCAAGGACTGCCCCAAGGCTCCCGTCTGCAACGCCGACAATTGCTTGCGCTCCTTCCGCGCCACTTCCGTTCCTGGCCGTCTTGAGGAGTCGCAGGCTTTCTGCAAGTCGTTCCTGAGCAAGCCTGTCAAGGACGCTAGCGTTCTTCCCGCGCACGCGGTGCAGAACTGCGCCAAGGAGGACAAGGTTGCTCAGGCTAGCAGTGCGTGTGCCTGCTTACCCGCTGCCACTCCCGCTCCTTGAAGCTGGATAATGAAAGGGGAGGAGAGACGTGAAAATGCTGCATGATAATGCATGATGCGACGTAAATAATTCTTAGTACCTAGTTTACCCTCTCAGTTGGTTGCGCACGATACGTGGCTTCTGAGAGTTTGTTAGCAACAATTGATGAATACATCGACATGACCTCACACGATATTGAAGTATGCATGCCGTCCGTGAAGCCACAGAACCGGACCTGAATTGGAGCTCCGTCGTGTATCTAGATGTGGCAGATCAATGGTCGAATCGACACAGTCATCACTATGCTGCCTCGGGAATCATATTTCTAGATATCCCAAGAAGTGATTGTCGACTAGTTACCTAAACCCATATTCATCAAGGAAAAGAACCCGATCAAAACTATCCCGAGACCATGCACAGGGTTCGTGGAGTCTAGCAGTAAGAAGTCCCAACCCATACCTTTTCTCGACCTTCAAATATTCTATCTTCTCCATGTTTTCTCTAACTACCTAGTCTCAACATGTCGTCCGTCTCCCAAGCTGGCTGTATCATTACTATTCCTGCCCACAAATCTGATAGCGAGTGCGGGAAGATTAAGGTGGAATGGACTAAATATTATAGAAGCAGAACTGGCAGCTACTACGTTGTCAAAATCAAGGACCAGACTCAAGATCCCGCCGACGTGCTTCTCTGCGTTACAGACCGCTTCTATTCGGACAACTTCAATGAAGACTTGACCAGAAACTTAGCGGGTGTAAAGGGAGAGTATAGCAAGTGCATATGATACAACCAATATGACTGAATGCACGGAATTTAAGCCGCGGCACGTCTCATTCCTAACCACGTCGTGATGCAGGTTGTTAGCTATTACCAAAACGGTTAGCAAAATAGATCTTGAAAAGACTGCTTCCTTCTTCTTCAGGACAAATTTGATGAGCTCTATCAGATCATTTGTTTGCGTTTCTGATTTTTGGAGCGACCATGCCTAATTTGCGTTTCCTTCATACCGTGCATTCTGTGCCTTAACTTGATGATGCACGGGAAATTGGTAACGTGTACGCGGATGGATACTGCCTCCACGGGCCACCAACTTGCAAGACCATCAGCAGTAGGTAAGAGCAAAATTATTGATTAAGTTATAATAGTTCAGGAAAAGACTCAATCGGTCCCACATCCCCAGGAGTTCTTCGCGTTTAAGGTGTGCAACAAGCTCAGAACTTGCATGCGACCCACGGACCTTGGTGTGGCGATCTTGAAACGCGCTCTTGAAACATCAAGTACGGCCATGGAGGGTCGTCCCGAGCTTTCTTCTCTACAGCAACACAAAAATACATCAGACCGAACTTTCTCTTCTTACCAAAACCATCAAAAACAAATCCAACGACTATCAAAATGAGTATACGCATGCTTCTCGCAGGCCTAGCCTTTGGCCAAACACTAGGACTCAAGACTCAAGTCCCCTTATTCGAATCATGCGCCGCAAGCCCGCTCCTCCCAGACTCTCAACTTGCCTGCGGCAAACCCACAATCTTGGCCTCTGGAGGATCGCCTGTCCTGGACAATTTGGCCGGCAACCGGACAGCGAAGCCGCCCAAGAAGGACATTTGGCGTTCGGACGAAGGCTGGCAAGGCCCTCACTCCTGCGCGGGAGCGTACTGCGCCTACTCACGACCATCCTTTGCCAATGGCCGGGGTATCGTCCTCGTGAGCACGGCATACAACGCCGAAGAGGCGTCTCACTTAGCGGCTTTTGCAAAAGAGTCGATCAAGGGCGAGGGCGATAGTGAGCTGTTCCGCGTGGTGGAGATGCCTGGCAAGGGCCTGGGTGTCATCGCGAACCAGCATATTCGGCGTGGGCAGCGGATCATGGCCCATCCGCCGGCTGTTGTTGTGCACCGCAGGTTCGTTGATGATATTGATCTGGAGAACCAGTACCGTCTGCTTGATGTTGCTGCCGGAAAGCTTCCGAGGGATACTCGCAAGACTTTCATGGCGCAGATGGGTCAGTCTCGCGAGCATCAATCTACGGGACACAAGGTGCACGATATCATGCACACCAACTCATTTGAACTGGGTCTTGGGATCAGAGATGGTCATCACTTTGGTAACTACCCAGAGGTCTCACGTTACAACCATGATTGTAGACCCAAGTGAGTTGATTTAGTTCTCTCATGGCTCACAGGCCACACACCACCTCATCAACTAACACAGCCCAGCGTCGCCTTCTATATCGACGACTCAGACATGCGGCACTACACCCATGCCATTAAAGACATTCAGCCCGGCGAGGAACTCACAATATCATACGTCGACTCTCTCAGCTCCCGCGCCGTCCGCCAAGATCGAGCTCAGCGCAACTGGGGCTTCGGCTGCACTTGTCAGCAATGCAGTCTCTCCGAGGCCTTCATCCGCTCCTCTGATCAACGTCTCGGAAAGATGTGGCAAATCGAGCAGCAAATGAGTCACTGGAACGGTGCAAAGGTCGACGAGGAGATGATTGAGGAGCTTATTTCGCTCTACCGGCAAGAACAGCTTGACCAATCTCACGGCTCGAATGCTTTCAGGCTTGCTGCGTTGAATTACAACTCCTTGGGAATGGAGGAGGAGGCGCTCGAATATGCTAAGCTTGCTGAAGAGCAATTCTTGCTTGAGAAGGGTCCACGGGCGAAGCAGGTCCAGGATATGAGAGACTTATTGCGGGATCCGAAAGAGCACTACAGTTGGCGACAAAGAGTTTGATTGGTGCTGAAAATGCGCCTTCTTACTCAAGTTTGGATGTAAATTGATTTGCGAAAATAGGCTTTCATTTACCAAAAGTTCATGTCAGTCATGTTCAGAGCTTCTAGCCAAACTTGAACTTGTCCCTCTCATGCCTCTTCAAGTGTTCAATGAAAGTCAACGATCGAGACAGGTGACATCTCAGAACGGGCGACTCTCGACTTCTTTCTTCAGATCTTCATTGAACTGATTCCATCCAACAAGAATCTTCTGCCTGAAACCCCAAATTGGTGCCATAATAAATGCCAGGAGGCCATGAATCTCCTCGACCCGGATGAACCTGGTGCCTCCAGAGTTTTGCTCACTCGGGTTGAACCAAAACTCATGTTTGCCAACGAACAAGAGCGGAACTGACCCCACCCATTGGAGCGTCTCTGTTGTGTTTTCCTAGTTATTCGAAGAGAGTCAGTCAAACCAATCACAACTACCTTACTACTATAGACAGCAAAACACATCTAGCGGAGAGAAACTGAATACTCCTTACCACAATGACTGGACTGAATGCCATCCCTCCCATGTCAACTTTGATCTTATCGCCATCCTTGAGCTCAGAGGGATCCTTGCCCGGCTCAGTCGGCTCGAGAGTCCACTTCTGGCTCCACTGCTTGTATTTGCTGAACTCCAGAAACTAATCAGACGCAAAGTCAGCACAGAGCTTGAAAAGAAGTTTCCGTCATTTGTCCGAAACGCGCCTCGGGTTCGCTCTATTTCACAGGGTCCATACCACTGATCTCACGGCCGCCGGCGGGGCCTGGATTTCAATCTCTGCTGCGATACTTTGCGTTTGACCCATGGCTACGGTTCCTGATCCAAATATAGGTTCCGTGGGGGGTTTTGACGGATTTGGCTCTTTTGGATGAACGTGGACCTCTGGTGCCTGGGATCCTTGGATGGATAGCTGAATCTAACACTATCAAGTCTTCTGACAACAACGTCGGAAGACGAGCATCTGAGGTGATTGAGGGGAATACTGGATTCATATACGTTTTTGATACGAATTAATAGATAACCGCCCATTGGTGGTTTTCTGCTGACTGCATAAACATATCTCACCATCGCTTAAGCCACCTAGCGGCTACCAGACCGCGATCGGCTAGGCTGGGCACTGGACCCCGGGCTGCGCCGCAGCCACGATCTATCAAACTGAATTCCGCCGGCTGTCAATTAGTCCGGAAACACACAGCTCCAAATCCCAAACCCGCGCCAGCCAAACGACAATAGAGTCAACCAGCCATGTAGAGTCCTGTTTCCCCGAATCCCAATGTTCCCATTACCGAGTCCGTTTATTTGGATCTCTTTGACCTACTCCCAGACTCCGTCACCCCGAAACCCATTGAACAAGAGAGTTGCTCATTGAAATTGTGGCCGCTCGGAAGCGAGCACCCACATGTCGTTATGGGTAAAGACACCGGCGTGGTTTGCTTCCTTCCATGGTGTGTCAGGTCTCGCAAGACACCAGTCAAAGTTGCGCATCAACTGCCCCAATATGTTAGCTCACAGGTCATTCAAAGAGATGCGAGAAGGGATGCTGCGCTCGACTCACCTCGAAAATAGTCTTGCCAATCTCCATCATCGCAATGGGCCGGCCAAGGCACTGATACTTTCCATACCCAAAGATAAGCTCATGCACCCGATGCATATTCACCAACCGCCTCTCGTCCTCCTCCAATAACCACCGCTCAGGCCGGAACTCGTCCGCGTCCTCGCCAAAGATCTCCTTGCTGAGGTGCATCGGCCACGCCGCGGCGTTGATGTTCGTCCCACCGGGCAAAAACACCGACTCGCCGTTCACGACAACCGTGTCGCCTCCGTCCGGCACCCGCTTGGGGTCCATGTTCGTCACGGGCGGGTGCACGCGCATGCCCTCCTTGATGACAGCCTGCAGGTACGGCATCCGCCTGTTCTCCGCGTCCGAGACGATACCCGACGGCCGGGAACCAATTTGCCCCTCCCTGACGTAGGCGTCGATCTCGGCCTGGAGCTTGGCGTAGACGCGGGAGTGGGTGAGGAGGTAGAGCATGATGATGCGCAGCGACGCGGCGGTGGTGTCGGACCCGGCAATCATCTGCAGCGTCGTCTCTGAGAGGATCTCGTCCTCGCTGAGGCCGTGCCGGATAAACGAGGCAATCATGTCGGACCGCTTCTCCGTGTCGCGCGCAAGGCGCTCCTTGATGATGGCGCGGCCGTTGGCGAACATGCGGCCGAAGCCGGAGGCGTCCGTCTCCTTGGGGCCTAGGAGGCGTGCCACGATGGGCTTCTGCAGAATCTTGTAGAGGCCCAAGCCAATCTTGTAAGTGAAGATTGTCATGCCGACTTCGGCTGACTCGGCGACGCCAAACATGTCCTCATCGGCGCGCAGGTCGCCAAAAGGCTTGCCGTAGCTGATGTTGCTGATGACGTCGAGTGTCAGGTACTGCATCTTCATGGCCAGGTCCATAGGTCGCGCTGCGAACTCTGTGGACATGTACTTTGAACGGATCAGCTGGACCAGCTCCGACACGTGTGTATCGACCGAATCCTCTAGCGCGAGGTTCTCTTTGCCAGAATACTTGATGGTTGTTTCGTCAGTAACTGGCATGGTCCGTATCAGACTAGGTAAGTGAAGATCGTCAAAAACTTACCCCGGCTCCCATCCGCTGCCTCAGCACCCTGTGCTTCTCCTCGTCCATCTCACTAAAGACGTGATCGTTCTCCGACATGTGCCGGCACGCGCGATAGTACCACTCCGTCCGCGTGTACGGCGACCGGATGCCGCTCATGTAGACGAGAAGCTCGGGCGAAGAGGTGATCAGGTCGTTCGGCCCGACGCGAGCGATCGTCCCTAAGAGGATGGGTTCAGCATTGGGCTTTCTTTCATGTTCAGCTCGGGCCATGCCGCGAACTTGGCAGCATGGTCGATCACGACGCTTGTAAGGAAGAAGACGGTGAAGGAGAGAAACCTTGACGGATGGGAAGGAAGGAAGTGCTTACCGTATTTCCTGCATACTTCATCGTACTTCAGGTGAGACTTGAAAGTCAGAATCGCCCAGGCATGCCACGCCTCTGTCCAGCCGCACAGGACCGGGCCCTTGAACGCCCTGAGCCGGTTATACGTTCTGATCTTGTGACCGACGTACACAGCTACCAAGATCGCCGCAAAGAGCCAACGAAGGCTGTACAGTTGTGAAATGAGACCCATCTTTGTCAGTCGCAAGTCCTTCTTAGTATGAGAAGAGTGCGATGTATGAAGGAGTAAAAGGGAAGGTGATCAACATGTGGGATTGGGAACTGGCCCTGAGATGTAGTAGTCCCGGGACGGCGGCTCAGGAACTTTAAAGAACGCTTCGAAGGGGGCCTGTCTAGCTTCGGCAACGGGGCCTACGGTCCTCGTGGGATTTTATGTATCTGATGGTATGCCATCATCTCGCTTGGGCGCGAGGGCCTCATAGTGGGCAGTGGCGCTTTGAAGAACTGGGGTGGGAAAAGGGAGGGAAAGGGAAATGTCAGGTTGAGTCGTGCGTGCCGATCCCGTATTCCGTTAATTTTTTCCCTGGGCTGGAGCTCAGCTGGCTGCTCTCGGGAAAGGGGCTGAACGGCAGTTGAACGTTGAGCTTTGACGATGAGATAATTGATAAGGAGTGAAAGGGACCCTCGTTGGACCGGGACCCCGGATGCAGTCAAGGGTCACGACAGCCAAGGGCCCCATCGGGGGTTCAGCAAAAAGTCGGGAAAAAGCCACTCGGCGTCATGTTGTTCGTTTCTGGTAAACCGTACAATCTGGTTTGCTTTTTTCCCTTTCCTTTTGCCCCCTTTTCAACCGGTGAGGATACGGGGGCAAACGGGGCTGCGTAATCGTCTCCAATGATATTAAAGTGATTTGGAGAACTTTGGAGTACTTTGGAGTTGGTGTGTGTAGCCAAGAGTTCGAACTTGTTCCCATCTAGTCCTGTTGCATATGTAAAGCATCGTGGACCGGCGTCATTGCGAGTCTGGAACTCCGGTTCAAGATGGATCTCCGGCCAAGGAAAGGGGGACTTTGGAGTTCAAAAGTCCAGATGACGTGGACCTCAGGCCAGAATACATGCTTGGTATTGTGGCCACTGGGTAATCCCATTGTTCATTTGAGGGGTATTTGTCCAGAAAATAGTTGATTGGACTCGATCTCACTCAGCTGATCGTGCTCAGTGTCCAACGTTCGAGTCTCATCCCCGGGGCGTACAAAAGCAATGTTCTGTCGGTGATATCTTTTTTATGAAAAAACAAAAATCGACACTATTGAATGTTGTATCCGTGCGCTGCTCTGCTCCCGGACCTTCGGATTCCTCCCGACCGTTACCTCAAGGCTTAAGTAATCATCCCTCCCTAGGCATCAACGCAAGAGAGCCTAATGCCGTTTTCCCATCACATCTATTCGTCGTTGAAACACATATTCAACTGGCGCTTAAGCTGCACTTAACACAAGCCTTAATTATGGGCCAGTTCATGCGTGGTTGGCGATAAGAGGGGACTCAAGTTTTTAACTGCCCGTTTGTTTTGAGGTTCCCGTGGTTCGAGGAGGAACCGAGGGGCCCGCGGGATCCCAGAAGGGGAAATAATCGAACCCCCACGTTGCATCAACCGCTGCGAGCAGCGGACATCCCAGTTGCAAGCCCAGGAAACCCCCGTCATCTTGTCAAGTCCCGAACCTCACTTGAGGTTGTAGCAGCAAACATCTACCCTCTTGTGTGGTCACATTGAACCATACAAAACAGGGAACCTGTGAAAGAGACAACAAAAAATGACAAAATAGCTTGAGTCACATCTCTAGAATTTATTTCAACTTGAACCAGACAGTATTCAATCGCGTTCTGCCCGGTCAAAAGTGGCAAGCATGGGTATTTGCATCACGCGAAACAAGACAACCAACAAAACACCAAACCAACAGAAACGAAAACCAACACAACCTTAATTGAACCTCTTTAATCAAGAATTGACCCCACAACCTTGATGAATTCAATACGACAAATTGTAGATTTTTTTATAGTCTCTTTCGACGTGGTGATGTTTTCTCAGCTTTTCAGGATCAATATGTGGTTCTGAAACTATAGTCCATACAATACACCACCTGCACGGAAGAACCACATCAAAAACCTCAACGGGGACAAAATACCCAAATTTCTGTCGTGATCAGCATACCTGGCAGACCCGACTCAGGCAAAGGCGCACAATGCCGCCTCCTCTCTCAAAAATTCCAACCTCTCGCACATCAGCACCGGCGACGTTCTCCGCGAGGAGATGGGACGCGGGGAAGAAAGCCCCCACGCAGATATCATCAGAGCAAACATGCTTGCAGGGACAATAGGTCCAATTGAAATTACAATGGCGATTCTCAAAGAACGAGTTGCAAAGTTGATGGAGGGTGGTACCAGAGTGTTCATGCTAGATGGTGAGTTGCTGCTGCATCCCCCTGCCATGTGAACCTGTACCCCAGAACGTGATCTGAATCAAACCAAAAAGGGTTTCCGCGATCCATTGAACAATCGACACACTTCCAAACCTTCATCGGACCCATAACCTCCCTCCTCGTGCTTCAATGCACCCCAGAAACAAGCCATCATCGCCTCCTCGCCCGCGGCCGATTCGACGACCAGACGCAAGGAATCCGAGACCGGCTCCTCACCTTCGAAACCACAACCTACCTCCCTCGTGATAGACGACTTCCGCGGCAGCAAAAAGTTGACAGTCGTCGACGCGGAGCCATCCGTCGCGAAAATCCACGAGGAACTAGTCACGATAGTCTCTAGCGTCACTGAGCTCCTGCATTAGCGCCGCGCTGCTTGCTGCTGCTGCTGCGCAATCACAAATTGTTTGTGTGTTTTATGTATGTACTGTTGTGATCTGCAATGTCGTGTTTTGCAGTAAGGTAGCATCTGCCCATTCAATGGCATCAAACTTTATGTACGCTCAGTCTTAATCTTGCACTTCCTTGCGCTTTTAGCTTACTTTCACGAGTAGGTACCGACTAGGGTGGCAGGGCTGGGGGAGTCGAGACCACGCGCAATTTGCCTATTAGGTTGTCACTGAGCAATGGATATGCTTTTCGCGAAAACATTTTTGATGTGCATTAATATGCATTAGATGATTCTATTTTTTGAAATATTATAGCATTCTGAAGTAAACCCGTTCATTCCCATTCCTGCGCCTGTGGTGCCTTGAAACTCCAATTCATTCATAATCAACACTGATAGATGTGTTTACTGCTCAACAGTCTCGCCCTCGACCTCAACCGCGTTGATTCTTGACGCCTTCTTCTTCTTGTCCTTGAGGGCCTTGCGGCCGGAAACAGGCGTGATTTGAGGAGGCGGGACAGGTGCTACCAGGGGAACTGTAGCGACGGGCACCGCAGGAGCAGGAGCGGGAGCAACGGCGGGAGGAGCAGTGACTGCGGGCGCCGGCTGGGGAGCCGGAACGGGAGCAGGGGATCCAGCCTGAGGCACAGCGCCGTTGGGATCAGCAGCCGGGACAGCGGCGGCGGGAGGTTGAGGAGCTTGATCGGGCCATGCTGGCGCGGCAGCAGGAGGAGCCGGAGCAGCTGCAGGAGGAGCAGGTACTGCGGCAGGGGGTGCAGGAACAGCGGCCGCAGGAGGAGCAGCAGCAGGAGGAGCAGCAGCAGGAGGAACTGCGATAGGGATGGCGTTGGGGTTGGCAGGCGTCGCAGGAGGAGGGGCAACAGCCGGGACAGCAGCGACGGCGGGCTCAGAGTAGATGGCAATTGCCTGGTCCATCACGGACTCGATCTGAGCCCTGCCCTCGGCTGCGATTCTCTGCCCGACTCTGGGAACCTTTTCCTCGAGCGCGGCAGTCAATGCCATGCTGGAGATCTTCTGCCTCTGCAGGGACTCCAATGCAACACCACTGACGCCAAGGTTGTCAAGAACAGGCTTGCGGGAGACGAGGTCATTCACGGTGACAGTCGTCTGATCGATAAGAGCGTCCGTGGTGCGGCGAAGCCTAGCAGCTCTGAAGGCGCCGAGGTCGCCAGCAGACTGGATATCGACTGTGGCCTGGTCGGTAGCCACCTGGGCTTGCTGAGAGAATATGAGGAGGTTGTTTGCCGTGACTGGGCCACCGTCCAAAGAGAGGACTGCGGCATCGACGTTGGCGAGTGATTCGGACACGGGAGCCAGAGCTCGCTCAATGGTGTCGAGATCACCTGCAGCTCTCTCCTCGATCTGGATGGTTCGAATAGGCTGGAGAGGTGCGGCAGTGAGGATGGCCGCCTGGGCGAAGAGAGCAAGGGTCAAGTGCATGGTGACCATTTTGGTGTGAAGGTGACAGACGAAGGGTCTAAGGGTCGTCGAAGAAAGTATTGAGGCTTTGGGAATAACCAAGCTGTTGTTCTTGAGATCCTTGTCTGGTGGTACAAGAAAATAATTCTCTTCCGGTGGGATATCGAATAGGTTTATAAGCTTCTGTCAACCAGTCTGTGATGATTGAAGCTTAGATCACATCTAGTACCAAGATGGGAAGATGGACCCTCGTTAGCTCCCCTCGGCGCCTGGGACGTGAAACCGTGAGACACATCCGTACCATGAGGAAGTCGATAGTCCTCGAGCTTGCAGCAGCTCACATCCTGAGAACGTTGTCTCCAGGCTGGGAAGCAGTCTTCGTAACTCCAACATCTGCGTCCCCGACGCAAGGATCCTCTGGATACAGACCACAAAGGTCTGTGTTGACGTCCGTGATTCTCGGCCGGGAAGTACTGGTATGCAGCCAATATCCACTTTTGACAGTCTGACAGGTACAAGACAGCTAAACGGTCGTGAACCGGCGGCCGAAAGGAGGATTAAGCTTCCGTAGCTAAGAAACCCCTGATCCGTGCGAGCAACTCGGTGCAGGAAGGGAAGGCAAGGTCCCGATGCAACAGGGATGAGGTCCTGGCGCCGCAGCGACAGCTGGGCTGCATGAGCCATGAAACGAACCGCACCATGTCAACAGCGGCGACGACATGGAGGCTTGTGAAGCTCGGGGAGGCTCCCAAGAAAGTCAAGAGGGGACACTCCCGGACACAGCCTTCAAGTGCCAGACACTTGAGATGAACGACAAGAGGCACCAAGCTGTGGTATAAATGTGGTCTACGCCAGTTGACCGGGGACGCAAGGTGTATACTCGGACGTGTTTCGAGGACGAATGATTTCCACGAATGCCGTCGATGAATTTGGTGATGCGCGCAGGTATCGCTGCGCCTCCTCATCCCCGGCCGACGAGTTCTCTCCGCTTTCCAACCCCATTGGCTGTGCGTCAACAGCATCCGAGCTTTTTAACGTCGGCGGGACGTCCCCGCAAACTCTTTGAATGAGGCTCTACTATCATGGCTGGATAGCTCTGTACGTAAATTCGGTGGTCGAAGACTTAGCCCACGACACGAACACGATAGAGTCGCTTGATGAACACAGCTTCCCAATCCCTGCCTGAAAATCAAAGCTTCGTTCGGTCAGCCTGGACATGTCAACCGTCATCTATGAGCCATGAATCACGAACCATGAACCCAGTGTTGAACCGGACCATGTGGTGTCCTTCTGATGGCAAGGGGCACGCGGCCGGTTCCATCTAGGTATACGCTCACGGCCACATTGGACATCATGACTTTGATATTGCTCCGATAGAATAAGCCTCCAAGGGTGTTAAAGAACAGACCTTGAGGCTAAAATGCATTTGAATATAAGCGTTGCATATCCCTTCTGCAGCTGCTAGAAATGACAAATTCTGATAGCTTGCCACCTTGCGTATTCTTGTTTGCGCGCAGGATGCATGCAGGAAGCGATCCCTCGTTGACGAGCTTCCTAGATGGTCACCGAGAGGCTGATCTATAGGGTGATGAAAACCAACACGAATCCTATGATGAGTCAGACCGATTGGTTTCCGAACCAATACCTGGATAGGAACCCCACGCCGAAGAACCCCGCATAATAGGCAACCAGCCGGTGTGGTCTGTACAAGTGTACAAGTAAAGGTGTGGTCTTCTCCGCGACAAAACTTGAGGACGTCGCTCAAACTTCAACGTAGACTAATCGGAAGCACCACACACCCAGGAAACATGCCAATCGAAATTCAGCCGGTGTTGGAGAGCGATCTTCGGCGTTGCGCCGAGATTGAGAAACTGGCGTTCTCGGGGAGCCCACTTGAACCAGTCCTATTCCCCGGACCCATGCCGGAGGATTTTCTGGGGATTCGAGCTGAAGAATTGGCCAAACAGTTTCGAGAGGACGCCACCGTGCGCTTCCACAAAGCGGTGGACACGGATCTCTCTGGCGACGAGGCGATTATTGCTTGGAGCAAGTGGAATGCGTATTCGGAGGGCCTGCCGGTGCCAAAACCACGTGTCTGGGGGCCTGGCTGCAACGAGGAGGCGTGTGCAAAGTTGTTCTATGGCTTGGACGAGATGCGCCAGCGTTTGATGGGTGGCAAGTCGGTCGTCTGTAAGTGGTGGATATGGCACGTTTGATGCGGGTGTGGCGGAGGTGAATGACAGCTAACGCAGACGACAGATCTGCATATCTTGGTGACGGACCCCAAGCACCAAAGACGTGGAGCAGGGTGGCAGTTGATGACACCTATAGTGCAGGAAGCTGTTCGACTGGGCGTTCCGGCGTATCTCGAGTCTTCAAGAGCTGGTCATCATCTGTACCAAAAGGTTGGCTTCAAGGATATCGATGAGCACCGGGTGGACTTTAGCCAGTATGGTCTGGAGGAGCCTCACATCAACTGGGCGATGCTGTGGGAGCTTCCCAATCGGCGGTGCCCATGAGCGGCCGGTCGAACGGTGAATATCCGATGTTGGACATCGTAGAAGGAGGGGATGAACCAACGGCGGCTAGAGAGAAGAATCCTTTCGGGTTTGGTGATCATATGGAAAAATGACAAAGTCCGAAGAGGACGGTTTGATAGGCGAACTTGGACGGAAAGAAACACATCCGTAGTATTAATTTGCTGTTCTGAAGAAGCAAATGCACACACTGCAGGCAGCCCTGCTGGGGCTCCCCGAAAGACGTGCTTGGATCTCGGTGAAAACACTGTGCTAATCACTGTCCGGCTCCACACTTTGGCCTTGCATTCGGACAGTGTGGATTACATAAGAAGCACACGACTCTCCCACCTCAAGCTTGCCCAAAGTTCTGTTTAGTGAGGTGCAGCACTGCAGTGACAGACAGTGGGAGACGGCATGTGGCCCCTGCACCTACCTACCTACGTTGCCGAAGCTCACGGCCCCACCTCACTGTCAGCGCTGGAATTGATGATGAAATCGAACCTGCCGTCCACTGCTGCTTTGGAGGGGCCCGGACCTGCACTGCTAAACTCCGACGTCAGGAAGAGCACCGACTGAATCGAACCTCCTCCCCCACGACATCTCTCTTGTCCATGGCTGCCATCGCGTGGGATCAGAGCTCCTACCTGACATAGCTGCAGCTCACACCTCACAGACCGGCACCATGTCGTACATCGCGCCCATCCATAGACCAAGCAGCATACGCCAAGCCATCAGAATACGGCTGTCAGAGGAAGATGAAAGCGAGAGCTTGGTGGTAGCGTGAGTCTGCTCCCCTGCTGTACTGCCCCTCCCTACCTTCACCTTTTGCCCGTCTCTAGCTTGCCACACTCAAGCAAGCAGGCAAGTAGACCTGGACGTGTATCGCCTCATACTGACAAGCTCCAAGGCGATCAAACAGACTCGAAGTATGGCGCATCACGCCCACCGATATGTACTTGCTCGGCTCTGCCGCAGTCTACGGCACCATCCTTCTCCTCCAGCGGCTGCGACCCAGGGACAGCAAAACCGATCTGCTCTTCGTCGGTACCGATCGATTCCAATACTTCACGGCCAGATGGGACTCTGCCACCCAGAGGCTACACACGGAGCAGGTCGTCGAGGATACCGCCGAGCCTCACATGCGCGAAGCTCAGAGCCAGGACAAGTGCCTGGTCGATCCGACAGGCAGGTTCATGGCTATGCACCTATGGGAGGGTGTAATGAACGTCATGCGCTTGGGAACTAGGAAAGGACAGCTCGCTCGCCTTGACGATGCATGGGAACAAGTCCGCCTCTCCGAGCTTTTCATGAAGGCGAGCATCTTTGTGCCCACCGAGACTGGTCATCCCACCGTCGCCTTCTTATACCAGTCCAAGATCGATAAAGAGGACGCGCGACTCGCCATATACAGACTCATGACGGACGATAAGAACACAGCTGTCTCGAGGTTCGACCCAGAACGCAATAGAGATCTCGACATTGAGATCAAGGACCCTTATGCCCGTATCCTCATTCCCGTGAACATCATCGAGGATGAAGTTAAGCGATACCACAAAAGAGACACTTCAGCGGCCAAGGCACAACTGGGTGGCTTGATTGTCGTTGGCGAAACTCTGCTGGTTTACGTCGATACCCTGACGCAGTCTGTCGTGGAAAGTCCAATGGCTAGTCCCGCCATATTTGTGGCATGGGCTGCCTATGATGACACAAACTTTTTCCTTTCTGATGACTATGGCAATCTCCACCTTCTGACGATTGAGACCGAGGGTGTTGTTGTTCTCGGCATGACCGTTAGGACACTTGGAGTAACGTCTCGCGCGTCGTGTCTAGTGTATATGGGAGACGGCATGCTTTTCTTGGGCTCACACTACGGCGACTCGCAACTACTACAGGTGGATCTCGAAGAATTGTCGACGAAGCTTGTGCAGACCATTCCCAACATTGCGCCCATTCTCGACTTCGCCATTATGGATTTGGGGAACGCTGGAGACAGCCAGGTTGGCAACGCCTTCTCGTCAGGCCAAGCTCGCATCGTCGCCGGCTGTGGTGTTCATCAAAACGGCAGTTTGAGGAGTATTCGAAGCAGTGTCGGACTGGAAGACATTGGTGTTCTGGAAGACTTGCAGGATGCCCGAGGTCTCTTCAGCCTTCAGTCGCACGGCTCTGAAAAAGTTGACTCGCTCGTGGTTTCTTTCATGACGGAGACTAGAGTTTTCAGCTTTGATGCCGAGGGTGGCATTGAGGAAGTGTTTGAGTTTCATGGGCTCACCTTGGACCAGCCTACTTTGATCGCAAAAACATTGCCCAATGGTCAATTACTCCAGGTCACCGCAGTGACTGTAACTCTGCTTGATCTTGAGAGCGGTGTTACTCTGAACAGTTGGTCAGTGCCAGATGGCAAGACCATTGTCAATGCATCCGCCAACAGCAAGTGGGTATTGCTGTCTCTTAACGGCACCTCTCTGGTGTCATTGAACTTGGTCGATAACCTGGCAGCTCATGAGCAAGTCTTGGGCCGCGGCGTTGGGGGCGAGGAGGACCAGATTTCTTGCGTACATGCAGCCAGCGATCTCGACCATATCGGCGTGGTAGGTTTCTGGGCAACGGGTTCCGTGTCCATCATTGACCTCCGCACGCTCAACGCCCTTCAAGGTGAAACCATCAAGCAAACGGATGACAGTGTCTCGGTTCCTAGAGACATGGTTCTCGTGCAATTACATCCACCACACCTTCTCGGCCCGACGCTGTTTGTCGCTATGGAAGATGGCCAGGTTGTGTCGTTCAATGTCTCGAAAGAAGACTTTTCCTTGTCAACTCGCAAGAGCGTCACCCTGGGTAGTAAACAAGCTGGGCTGCACGTTCTTCCAAGACCGGACAACGAAGGCATTAGCAATGTGTTTGCTACTACCGAGCACTCTAGTCTGATCTACAGCTCAGAAGGAAGAATCATCTACTCTGCGGCAACTGCAGAAGACGTCACATACATCGCGCCCTTCGACTCTGAAGCGTTCCCAGATGCCATCTTCCTCGCCACGGATCGTAACATACGGATCGCCCACATCGATGCCGAAAGGAGAACGCATGTCAACCCCCTTCCTCTACGCGAGACTGTTCGAAGGGTGGCCTATTCGCCAGCGCTCCGTGCTTTTGGGATAGGTACCATCCGTAGGGAACTCATCAATAATGAAGAAGCGGTATCAAGCTCGTTCCAGCTGGTCGACGAGGTGGTTCTTGGCGTAGTTGGTAAGGCATTCCATCTGGATGGCTCCACGTCAGCCGAGATGGTCGAAAGTGTCATCAGAGCAGAGTTGCCCGACAGTATGGGGCAGCCTGCTGAACGATTCATTATCGGAACAAGTTACCTGGCAGACCCAGAAGTTGATGAGAACAGCGATATCAAGGGTCGGATTCTGGTGTTGGGTGTTGATTCTGACAAGAATCCCTACTTGATTGTCAGCCACGCGCTGAAGGGTGCTTGTCGAAGTCTTGGAGTGATGGGCGAAAAGATTGTTGCTGGGTTAAGCAAGACGGTAGTTGTCTACGATTACGCTGAAGAGTCGAGCACGTCTGGAGCACTCCGCAAGCTGGCTACTTTCCGCCCTTCAACATTCCCTGTTGACATTGATGTCAATGGGAACATGATTGGCGTCGCTGATCTCATGCAGTCGATGACCTTGATCGAGTTCATCCCAGCACAAGATGGAGACAAAGCGAAGCTTGTAGAGCGCGCTCGTCACTTTCAGTACATCTGGGCCACGTCGGTATGCCACCTGGAAGAGCATTCGTGGCTCGAGTCCGATGCGCAGGGCAACCTCATGGTACTCCGGAGGAATCCCGATGCGCCGACAGAACATGATCAGAAGCAGATGGAAGTTATTAGTGAATTCCACCTGGGAGAGCAAGTGAACAAGATCCGCTCACTCGACATTGTTCCGAATGAGAACGACCCGATCGTGCCAAAGGCGTTCCTCGCAACAGTAAGTTGACTTCCAGCCGAAGTTGTGAAATGAGATGCTAACATTCGGCTAGGTTGAGGGATCAGTGTATGTCTTTGCAGATATTAGGCCAGAGCATCAAAGTCTACTGCTGCAATTCCAGGAGAACTTGGCCGGAGTGGTGAAGACACTAGGTCAAGCTGACAATGCGCCTGGCGCCGGGCTCTCATTCATGTCATGGCGAGGTTTTCGGAACGCGAAGCGCGCGGCAGATGCGCCCTTCCGCTTTGTCGATGGGGAGCTGATTGAGCGTTTCTTAGACTTGGATGAGGCTAAACAGGAGGCTGTCGTTGCAGGACTTGGGCCGACAGTTGAGAACATGCGCAACTTGGTGGAAGAGTTGAAGCGCATGCATTAAAGCAGCATAGGATGATGTAGGATATTCAGAAACGGGGGAGTTGGGCGAATGGACCTGAAATGAATAACGCCCGCGGTTAAGAGTAATTACAGTGCAAACAAAGACACATCCTAGTGGAAAACAATGACTTTGTCTGATCGCCTCATGAATTGGTGTCGTGGAAGACGTGCACATGACGACCCACTGTCTGGGGATGAACAAGATAGAAATTTGTCTACATGTTGATTTTCCTAATGGGGGCTTTGCATCTATCCACATCGTCGCAGTCATCACTCGTGCCACTCCGGAAAGGGCCGGGTCCCAACTGTACCCACCAACCAATCAACAAGCACCAATTTCAGAACCTTCTGCCTGAGGCGACTAGCCAGAAAGCTTTCGGCAATCCTCAAACCACGGGCATCACGAAAAAAGACGCTCTCCTGCTAAACGTCATCCCTCTCCCCAATTGCACCTCGCAACATCCTCTCGCCGCCGCAAAACCTCTCCTCTCCTCCTCCGATTTACGAGATGGCGCCCCTCGCACAAGTTTCCCGCACCTGCCTGCGGCAACTGGCGCGCACCAGCCCGTCGACGGCTGCGCGCGCGCTCAGCACCTCGGCCGCCCGGAACGACTCGACCGCCACGAGCTACTCGAGCCCCTTCAAGGGCGCCCAGAAGGGCAGCAGCATCCCCGACTTCAGCAAGTACATGAGCAAGGGCTCTGCCGGTACCAACCAGCTTTTCGGATACTTCATGGTCGGCACCATGGGCGCCATCACCGCCGCCGGCGCGAAGTCCACCGTCCAGGGTAGGGAATGCCTTTCTCCGTAGCCCCGAAACAAACACAGACACCGAAATCGAGCTTCCGCAAAGCGATTTGGGATAATGGAAGGACGAGAAAGTGGAATAAAAAGGAAACAATGGCTGACGGACCGGTGTCAATTGCAGAATTCCTTGTCAACATGTCCGCTTCCGCCGACGTTTTGGCCATGGCCAAGGTTGAGGTTGACCTCAGCACCATCCCCGAGGGCAAGAACGTGAGTTGGCCTGATTGCAAAAGCCGAGCGGCGGCGGCACGCAAGAATGAGACAGCTGTACTGATATTTGTGGGCGACAGGTCATCATCAAGTGGAGAGGCAAGCCCGTCTTCATCCGCCACCGCACCCAGTCCGAGATCGACGAGGCCAACAAGGTCTCTGTTTCCTCCCTCCGTGACCCCCAGAAGGACGACGACCGTGTCAAGACCCCCGAGTGGCTCATCATGTTGGGTACGTATTTTTCGACGAGAATCGATTCAATTCTTTTGGTGGCGAGATATTGCGGTCTTTCAGCAGCTAGTGCCGAAGATCAAGGATCCAACCCTTTCCAGCAACCGGAGACCAAGACACAACCTCCATCTCAGTGCACGTGAGCTAACAATTTACCTTGTAGGTGTCTGCACACACTTGGGATGTGTCCCCATTGGCGAGGCCGGTGACTTTGGCGGTTGGTTCTGCCCCTGCCACGGCTCCCACTACGATATTTCCGGTCGTATCAGAAAGGGACCCGCTCCCCTTAACCTCGAGATCCCCGAGTACGACTTCCCCGAGGATGGCAAGCTGGTCATTGGTTAAGCGGGATCACATGTACGAGTATTTAAGACGAACGGCAGCGGGAGAGAGTACGAAAGGAGGCCAGAATCCCCCCTACACTCCTTCGAGGGCAGCGGGAGGGCTTTTGGCCGAAATGATGGCAACAACAAACTACTAGAACAACATTTTCTTTTGCATCGGAGACCGAGCTGGTGCTGGTTTGGGTTCCTACAAGACGAGAGAGAGAGGTGTCCATTTTCTTTTTTCTTAGACGTGTCCCTAGGGCAATAATGCCAAATGTACAAAAGTCAATGAGCGTCCAGGAACAAGCAAGTCTTCGCAACTTCAATATGCAGGTGTCGGCCAGGTACAAGGTGATATTTGCTGCAGGCAGCTGATTAGTGACATTAGAGAACGAGCTTGAGGGAGTAACGGCTTCGGGACGACAGATACGTCTGGTGGAAACGGCATCGAACGGATATCGGCACTGGAAGCCCCAGAGACGGCATAAAATGAACAACGACATTAGCGTCAGGAGCCGGCCAGAGGTTCTCTTATGAGAGTTTGGATATTTTACGGTTCGGAACAAATGTGACGGGGGGTCGATCAGACTGGGCCGCGCTCATGTGACAACCCAGCATTGGTTCGGAGCGATGATCCCGGGTGTGACTGGACTGAGAGCCGGCATCCCACTATCGAGACTGTCACTAAATAGATGATAGTACAATCGATTCCCGCGTGGATGGATGCCACACTTTTCGGGCAGATGGCGGTCTGGGCACTTTCGGAGACGGGACAAGGCGCATGATGGACAGTGCCTTGACGTCAGTTGAGGGTGGGATGACTGTCTGACCATCGACCTGGAGGTTCACGCTGGGCTTTTGTTGTGGTATGCGGTGACCAGGGCAGGGACTGGCAAGGCATGACGACGGAGAGGGCAATCCGTCTTCATTCATTCTTTGCGTCGAGGTCCAAAAGGAAGTTACCACGAGATGGTTTCCCCGCTAGGCGCTTAGAGTGGCATACAGCCTAGGAGTAAACACCAAGGGGAAGGGAAGACCGCTTCATATTCGAACTTCCAAAGACACTGGTGTCGCCATCCATCTTTGATTCTGGTCCAGTTGAGCCTTGAGAGCAAGGTGGCATAAACAGATCGACGTATCCTGCCGACTTGATGAGATGACACTTTTCGCCAGGCATAAATCGTAAAGAATATCCGGCAACGACGCCGTCTATAGCAAAGAGTACTAAGCTAAGGTAGATAGATCTAGGCGCCCTTGAAAGTTCAGGCCACGATAAAACATGGGACGGCAGGTGGTTGATCGATCTTGGTGTCGCAAAGTCCGACTTGAAAGCGACAACAATAACAGCATATCTCCTTGGCAAGCGAGCAAGGATAACAACGACAAATGTTGAGGAAGTTGGCAGGTTGAAGTTGGACGGGGGGCCCGTTACCCCCGGGCCCCGGCCCATGCCCCTGCGGCTCCGGGTCTCCACACTTTTGCCAAACAGAACGTGGTCGAGCCAATGAGACCAGACAAAAAGACGGCAGGAAAAGAGTGGATGAGACGCTGTTCCGCGACGGGTGCCGTCTGATTTGCAAGATCCTCAAACTCTGCTCAAGTTCAGCATCCCCCTCCAAGGACAGGGGGTCGATGGAGGCCGATTGGGGGCAGCCGGGACCATCTCTTGGACGTCGATCTGGCGATGAGGCTCCTTTTGAGTTTGATATGAGAAATGGCAGAGGCAGATGCCGGATGAGGTCGGCCGGAAGAGCGGTACCGAAATTCATCGAGTGATGGGTTTGGCAATGCGGCTTTCGGCAGAGGGAGAAGTTCTACCACGACAGCCGATGTGCTCCAGCATACCCTCCAGCTTGAGTCGAGCTGTGAACTGGGCAGCATCATCAATCGCATTCGCTGAGTTTCTCTCCACCAAGACTGTTGCAGAGAACGAGGCCCGGTTATTCTTATCTCTTCTACCCTTGCCCATCCCTCTTTGACGAGCCCGTCACTTCTACGGAGTACTCCTACTCGGTTCAGCTCCCGAAACAGTCCATCGAACCGTACAGTACCATGGACAATGAGCCGCATGGCACGCCGCCCCGTCTCTCCGGAACGGGATGAACTCTTGGCTCGCACACGTCGAACGGTCGCCACGTCTCCTTTCTCCAGTTCTATTCACTATTGTGGCCAAACCGTATCGGAGTGCAGTCCAGCCGACGGTTCCCCTTACCCCACCCCAGCGCCTCCGTCCTGTGGTTTCTGTTCACGATTCTGCCAAGCAGGGCCGCATCATCAAAGCCGGCAGCGCTTACCGTACCAACGTCCCGTTGATCGACGCGTTGGCTTCCCCAAGCGGGTTGCTCAGGGGAAGGATTCAACGTCGCGGCCATGAGACGAACCCAAGATGTTGGTGGGCTCTGAGACTTGTCCACCCCTCCCCTGGTGTAGATGATGGGCTTGCCGCGAGCATGTTATATATAATTGGGCGCCTGCTCTTCTTGCTTGACGGTCGAAGAAAGTGATTGTTTCCTGTCTCTAAGCCATCACCGTTCTCCTTCTCTTTCGTTCAGTTCTGGGAACTTTTTGTATTTCTATCAAAATCTTCATTCTTTCATTTCTTGTAGGCTCTTTGTCCATTGACTGTTCTCTTGGGCCGGCCCTTCTTTTGAACGTCTTGCATCTTTACTACACACTTTACCTTCTCGAACAAATTCGAAAAAAACAAGAGTCTCTTTAAATCCTTCGCAACAATGAGGTTCCAAACTTCCACCGCCCTCGCGGCTCTCGTCGCCTTAGCCGCTGCAGAAGTGCCCCAAGAGCACTCTCACGAGAAATACCTCCGCGCCGTCAACGCCCTTCTCAAACAAGACAACCCAAACAACATCCAAGACGCCGTCTTTGGCCTCCTCGGCAACGCCGCTGCCGCCGCGGGCGCGGGCGACGTGACCAACCTCGACTGCCTACACCAGACCACGGCCGACTCGGCCTTCACGACGGCCAAGGCCGCGGGCGACGTCGACGGCATGGCGAGCGCGCTCGTCTTCCGCGCCGTGGAGCGTAACACGGGTAAAGTCGGGCTCAAGAGCGTGCTGTGCGACGAGACGGCCGCGAACCCCGAGATTGCGGCGCTGAGCCAGCACCAAGATCCAGCTTCGGATGGTGCGGCTGAGACGAATAAGGCTATTACGCTGGAGTTGGCCAAGCAGCTTTCTGCTATTGGGGCTGATCCGCAGCTTGCGCTTGATGCTGGCACCTTTGAGCCTGGTGATGTAAGTCCTTTCCTGTGATAACTTGCGACTCATTGGGGTATGAAGATTAACGTGTAGACAGGTCAACGACAACACCGGAGCTGGTAACACCTGCGACGATGCAAACGATACAGAGGGTTGCATCTTTAGCCAGAACCTCATCGTCAAGGATGCCACCCCAGAGGAGATTGATGCTGCTGCTGCTGCTGGAGGTGCTGGCGGAGCCGCTGCTGGCAACGCCACGTCCGCCGCAGCCAACTCTACCGGCGCGGCAAAGGGCTCGCGCAACAGAAGCTTCTTGAGCCGTGCCATCCTCTCTCAGCGTGATGTTGAGGGCACCAGCGCCTCCACCTCCGAGAAGACCCGTCGCCAGTCCAAGAACAGCAACAGCAACAACGCCAACGCCAACAACAACAGCACCGCCGACGCAGCCACAGGCACAACAGACGTGCAAACTTTTACCGGCACCCTCGGCGGCCCCGCCCCGCCCGTGACCTCGGACCCCTCCGCAGACAAGCCCTTCTCCGTCAACGGCGCAACCTTCCTCAACGCCGGCGCGGCCCTCCAGCGCTCCTGCGCGGTCCAGCACAACGCCTGCGCCAACGCCGCGAACTCTGGCTCTGAGGATATTTCCGTCTCAGACTGCGACGCGCAGGAAGACGACTGCCTCGCGGCCTCGTCGCAAACCAAGCTCCGTCGCGCGTCGGGGCTGAACGCGCGCGGTGCGAGGAGAATGAGGATCGCTACGACGGCGCTGTTGAAGGGTCGACAGGCGTTTGAGTTTGGCGAGTGCCAGGACCCGAGTATTGAGTTTGCTGAGGGTCTTGATGGGCGTAAGGAGGCTTCGTTTGCTCCCGCGGGTGACTTTGAGCATGGTAGTGCGTTGAACATTGGTGTGATTTCGGGTTTTATCTGTGGGCAGTTGGAGAGCCGGTGTCAGGCGGATGAGGCTGCTGTTGCGGCTTGTCAGCAGGGGGAGGTGGCTTCCAAGGGGTTGAAGGGGCAGGCTGCTGCTGATGCTTTCAACTCTGCTTTGGGCCTTTGAGGGGTTGAATAGGGTATGGTGTTGATCAGCGAGAGGGAAGCTGTGTATGTGTTGAAGAAGACAAGAATGCTATCGATGTTGGGATAACAGCTCCGGGTTGTTAGACGTGAGATGATTGATGAATCAATTTGCTTTATTTTAATATCCGTGAGATAATTATGTTTACTCTGTCAAATTCATCGAGTTAGTCTGACTATACTCGAGAACGTGAAGCCAACGTTGTAGCTAAAAGGTGATGGAGTTGTAGTCAAGCTTGAGAAAAGCAATTATGGTAATGAAATTCGACAAATACATGTGTCAGTGCAAAGAAACAATGCCAAATGAAATTCATTCTCGATCGTGGTTCCTGGATCAGCGGGCGCTGCCAATAAGAATCCAATCTTTCAGATGTGGACATTTTCATGCAGGCGTTTTCCTGGATCTCAGCTCCAATCTCACTCCACAATCCCCAAAAACGCCGCCAAACTCTGATTTTTTTCTTCTCACTCATTCATTCACCACCCAAACCTCCAACTTCAACATCCACACACATTCATACTCACCAAACTTGAAGAAAGAGAGCGCTTCAAAAACTTTGCGCCCCCTCATTCATCATGGCTGAGTACAAATACACAACCCTCGGGAAGCGGGAGTTCCGTCTCCTCTCTCTCGCACCAGGTCGCTTCGACGACGCCCTCCAAGGCGACCTCCTCACCCGCCCCATCGACACCTATGTCGAAGAGGCAAGCAAACATGAGCACGAGCTGCCCGAATCAGCCGAATCATATGAAGCCATCTCCTACGTCTGGGGCTCCAACGAGAAACCCCACCATATCACCACCTCTGCCGGCGCAAAGATCCCCATCACGGAAAGCTTGTACCTCTGCCTCAAGCGCGTGCGCCTTGAAGACCGCGCCCGCCTCGTCTGGGCAGATGCGCTGTGCATCAACCAGGCCGACGGCAAGGAGAAGGAGACGCAGATCATGCTCATGCACGACATCTATCTCAGCGCGCAGCAAGTGCTCGCCTACCTCGGTGAAGAGGCTGACGGCAGCAGCGAGGCGATGGAGCTTATCGAGCGGTACTGGCGTGTTCACATCCCCGACCCGCTGAATGCCGGCGCGCGCGCGTTCGCAGAGGACCTTTTGGGTGCACCGATCCCCGATGCGCCGACGGGTGCTGGTGCGGAGCTGCCTCCTGTGGGCGCCGACAAGTGGTTGAGCGTCTCACGGTTCTGGAATCGCGCGTGGTTCCGCAGGGTGTGGATTGTGCAGGAGTTTATCCTGGCTCGAGACGTTATGATGATGTGTGGTGAGAAGACGGTGAACTGGTCGCAGCTGTGGCCGGGGACGATTGCGCTCGAGGAGCCGGAGAACCCGCCCTGGCCTTTGGTGGATGCCAAGGGGGAGGAGATTGAGAGCGCGGCGGAGTTGATGGCGAACATGGCCCAGAGGTTGCGGTTCTATCAGCTTGGAGCTATGAGAGGGAACACAAGGTCTCATGAGCATGAAGGGGGGCACGAGCATGGTGGTGGATGTTGTGGTGGGGATGGGCATGATGAGGATGATGATCACCACGGTCACGATCATGAACATGAACATGGCGATGATTGCGATCACGACCACGACCACGAAGAGGGAGCCGAAGGCGACGAAGACGGATGGGAGTCAGAAGATGACGACGAAGACGACGGCGGAAAGCGCTCAACAGACCTCCTCAACCTCCTCATGTCCTTCCGCGAAGTCGACGCAACGGACCCGCGCGACCTCTACTTTGCGCTTCTCGGTCTCGCCCTCGACGGCGACAGAGAAGAGTTCCGCCCGGATTACTCCGCCACCTTCGAGCAGACGGCCCTCCGCTTCGGCCGCACACTCCTCCACGAGCCCTTCAGCGAAGAACTCCTCGACCACGCCGGCATTGCAGAGAAGCACAACGGTGCGGCGCAAACTTTCCCGTCTTGGCTGCCTGACTTCCGCCGACCCTGGCGGCGTATGACGGTCGCGGACGCGGCTGAGTCCGAGGCCGCGGGCGAGACGGACTTTGATTTCGGGTTTGATCCGAACGCCGAGGAGGATGAGTTGCTTCTCAAGGGTATCAAGGTCGATACGATTGAGCACATGAGTGGCGTGCCGCGCGCGGCGCATTTGCATGCTGACCACCCGTCCCTGTGGGTGAAGCGCGACATGGTGACGCTCTCTCAGCTGTTGTCCAACATCCCCGGCTTCGAGGACTCAAAGTATCCGACAGGCGAGAGCGGCCTCGAAGCCATCCTCCGCGCGCTGACTTTCTTCCGCACCGAGGGGGAGGGAAGCGAAGAGGACGAGATCCCGGCCACGACGCTGAAGCTGGCATGGCGCTTCTGCACCGCCGTCGAGGAGGACGACCTCGACGCCGCGCGGCCGGAGCGGGATATCCTGCGAAAGGAGATCATAATGTCTGGTTGCACCGCGGAGGAAGCCAACGAGGCTCTGGAGGCGGCGGCGCAGGTGCTGATTAACCGCATCTTCCCGATGCGTGCGGCGCTGGATTTGGTGTTGGCCAAGGGTGGCAAGTATGTTGCCATGGTACCGGAGGGGAGCGAGGCGGGCGACGAGGTGTGGGTTATGAAGGGGTGTAACGCGCCGTTTGTGTTGAGGAAGAGTGGTGAGAGGGAGGGGATGAGGAGGATTGTGGGTGCGGCGTACGTGTATGGTATCATGAACGGGGAGGCCGTTGAAGGGGTTGAAGAGTTTGAGGCTGTTTCTATTCATTGAGAGGGATGTAGGGATCTCTTATGATAGTTGCTCATGGTGGGTTTCATGATGGTACGAAAGGGATTCGGACTTGAAAATAGGAAAGGGGCTATGGGAGATGAGTATGATGCCGTACATAGATGAACGGTGAGAAATGAAGCAGTAGTTTGAGGTAAACACCTCACCATTTTTACACAACACAGGTATTCTTCCGTCATGAGTGACACCTTGATGACCCGGGCGGGTGACTACTTCCCCGAGAACGTTAGGCAATCACGTACATACGGCATATGAAAGCTAAGTATACTGAAAGGCTCACTGGAAATATTTCTGAATCGTATCATGTCTTTGATGAGAAATACTTTGGCTATGTATCGCTAAACCGCGTATCGAAAATGGTGATTTTGCTTGAGACCCTTGCTTCGTGTGTTTGTTGTGCTTCGCGAGTATCGTGTGTTTGATCAGACAGTGCAACTAGTCGATTCCCATCCTGCTGTGGCTCATCGATGAATATGCTCAACATACAAGACTGTTTCTCCTGATCAGTGGCAGCGGTAGCCGACGTCGTAACAGTGGGAAAAGAGAAGAGGGTGGAAGGAGAGGGTCTGTGGTCGCTATGACAGGTACTTAGCACCGGTCCACAAGTTGACTATCATAAAAAAGCTTGGATTGTGTATACTGACGTAGCATTGGTAGTTCTACGTGGCATGATGTCACAAATGCAGACATCAATAGTCCGCGATTAACCCAATTTGATCTCCGTATAAGAATTGTTTGAGGTTGTGGGTGATAATTCATGTAAGAGCCGTTTAATTTCCCGGTCCAACGCCATACAGGCAGTTTCTTAGAGAATATCGGAAGATGGAACAATGAGTATTTGTATTCAATCTATTACTCGCCTTCCACACGACGAAAATCTCGCAGATATTTAGCATCTCATCCTATGGAAGTGCCAGCGCACAGTCTGTGCAGGCTTTGCGAACCATCGCATATCACCAGACTCGGTCTGTAATCTGTGTTAGTCATCTCCCGAACCGACGGCTTACTTCGAAATTAGGGGGAAATGAGTTGGTCATGTCGGATCTTCCGTTAAAACCTGAGATGTTCAGCCAGTCCTTCTTCTCGACAGGTTTTGCTACACTTACGACTTCAGCGATAAGATGCAGCGGCAAAGGAGCTCAATCCTAGCACAGTTCATGGCTTACACATCAATTGTAAAATTAGATCCCAAGAGCCGCATATTACCAATACCAGCCAGCCCCCATGGATTGGGGAGAAGTCCGAGAGAACTACGACTTAGGATTGGCCCCAGGAGGCGGGTTGGGGTAATGCATTCTGGCCCGATTGGCAACGAGGCAACAGAACTAAAAGAGCGGCAAAAGCAGGTTTCCGAATGCGGAGGATTGAGAAGCCCTTAGGAATTTCATCTTTGATGGACGGCATGACTGCCGTTGTATCATTGTGACTTGGTACTTTTATGTCAGGCTTTGCCCGAAGTTTTACCTCCGATTGGATCACGCGCCCAGCTTTAACATTTACGGCCCACCACGTTTAAATCGCAGATTGACCGGTTCATGGACATGAAAAAAATGATTTGCATGATAAGAGGGTCTATTCAATTTTTGAAATGCAAGGTACTTATCTCTTGATATCAGAAATGCGTAAGCTACACGTTGATTCCTTAGTAAAATAATGTAATTAAAGGCGTCTGAGGCGAATGACACTCATCAAAATCGTCTTTTCATGGTGCAATCCAGAGTTCTCAAAACGCCGCCTACATGGCTTTCGAGACATTAGTCAGTTCTAAGGCATATCCGATATGCTATACAGGCCTTCCTCTGATCATTTCAACGGCCAGGGCAAAGCACGCTTCCGGGTCATTGGAAGGCACCGATGATGTGATACTGCGCCAAAACGGATCTCGTGAGTATTGATCTTAGCCCTATAGATGGCTACGTGGAATGCGGACGTCGCCACGGAGGCGCAGGAAATGTTGGTTCGCTTTCGTATTTGGTATATTCGATTGGCTATCAATACGGCACGGCAGAAAACGTGCATCCACACTGAACGGGCGATTGTCAGCGTTCTGCTACTAAGATGACATCGACCAAAGCGATTGACCAGAAGTTGCCTTAATTCAGAAGGGGGGGACAAGGTAGCTGCAGTCTTCCAAGTGTCGGTAAAATACCTTGCCGATTTGACTGTTGAGGATTTTGATTGGAAGGCTGGACTGCTACAACACATTTTCCAGGAGGCAGCAGTTTTTGGCCAGCTCGGTGACTCAGAAAGGATTGCTGGTAGGCACCAATCGAGCTGCGCTTACATGTACATGCACCATAAGCTCTGCCACTTCTTCGGACATGCTGAATCCAACCTACTTGCTTGCGTATGGTGTTCCGAAAATCAGCGTGAAGCAAATCCAGATGGAATAGGAGTGCCCCGCCTTAATGTCCTTGAACTGGATTTGTAGCCAAGAGCAATAGCTTGGAGAATTTGCGGCTCGCCGGAACAAATGCAACAGAAACGTTGATTGCTCGATACAACTGGTAGTCAGAACGACCTTATTCGTACTTACCTGAAGTATCTTAAGGCAAGGTAGCTCTGAATAATCTTAGGAATGGGGTCACCGGCCCGGAAAGCGTCATTCGGGACGGCGCGGACATGAGGTTGTATGTGGGTCACCCGATCCCGCTAACGGGGCCGACCGAGCGTACGGGTGGCTGACGTTGTAGGCGTCATCGATGATTGTTCGCAGTATCATCTTGTTCATCCCTGTTTCGCATGTTTTCCAAAGCGTTGTGGACTTTCCCTATCATTTAAAGTTGGAAATGATTCGAGCTTCTACTCGTACATGCACTTCTATTTACGCGAAATCCTACCCAAATTTACGTGATACTACAGTCTCATACTTCTATTCGACTCGCAAACCTCTGTCATATTCATCACACAAGATGCCTTCGTCCAAGGGAAAGCCTACTGACCCCGAGTTGAGAGAGGAGATCAAGGAAGGTTAGTGTAGATGAGGGAGATACATGGAAAGTTGCCAATGCTCACATCATGGCCAGAAATCAAGCAAGAGCCCAATAAGTCGGGCGGAGGAGAGGGACAATGGGCCGCATGGAAGGTATATCACTCTTCTCTCTTAACCCTCAGCTATCATGGCTTCAAGTTTGCTCGTAATATCGGTCTGAGCGATCAGCTGACTGATTCCATAGGGAGCGAAATTGGCAAAGGAATACGAGAAGCAGGGCGGCGGCTATGAGAATGAGGCGGGGTCCAAGAATGAGCCGAAAAAGGGCGAGCCCGAGAAGAAGAGCGAGAGTAAGAAGAAGGCTGAGACTGATGACTAGTTAGTCAACATTTTCATGATTTTTTTTATCTAATATGAGCCACCGTTGATTTTTCGCAAGCTTTTACTTTGGTCGATTTCTGTTGATTCAGTGATGCTCAAGATATCGCTGATTGTTGTTGCTTTTAACGATGACATGAGCGGAAGAGCATGATTGTGCCGCATTTCCGCCAACTATCTGATGGGGAAGGTGAGATGTCGAAGGATTCCCTCGTATTCATCTCACTCCTCTCGCTTTTCTTCACAATCGCACCAGCTTTAAAGGGAGGAGAGCTATCTACTTACCTGACTTGAAATAGGCAACATCACCACAAAATGCAGCATCTCACAGAACAGGATACCGACTCCCAAGACGAAGACGACTGCTGGACCCCCCTCCAACGCGCCGCCCGCGAAGGCGACCTCCCCGCCGTCCACGCAGCCCTCGCGTCAGGAGCAGACATCAACGCCCCGCCGCGGGGCTACTATGGCCGCACAGCCCTCCAAGCGGCATGCGAAGCCTCCCACGGCGCCGTGGTCTCGGCGCTCCTCGCAGCCGGCGCGGAAGTCAACGACACGCCCGGCAACAACAGCGCCAAGAACGCACTGCAGATCGCGGCAGGGAAACCGGACCTGGCCATCGTCAAACTCCTGCTATCCCACGGCGCCGAGGTCAACGTCCCCGCATCGCGATACTTTGGCATGACGGCGCTGCAGAGCGCCTGTGCCGCTGGCCTAGATGACACCGTCGCGCTGCTGCTGGATCACGGCGCGGACGTGAACGCGCCGCCGGCGTCGACGGCAGGTCGAACGGCGCTCCAGGCTGCGTGCGAGGGCGGGTTCGAGGAGATTGCGGCGATGCTGATTCAGCAGCGGGGGGCAGAGGTGAACGCGCCGGCGTGTCGGAATCGAGGGTTCACGGCGCTGCAGGCGGCGAGCTACGGCGGGTGGGCGGGGCTTGTCGAGCTGCTCCTTACGGCGGGGCCAGCTGCAGGCGCTGCAGGTGCGGGGGCGGATGTCAACGCCGAAGGGAGCAGGTTCAAGGGCGGTAGGGCGCTGCATGCTGCTGCTGAGGGGGGCCACGTGCGGGTGTGCGAGACGCTGCTGGGCGCCGGGGCCGAGATCGAGGCTGGGGCTGGGGCTGGATGGGGGGTAAGTGGTGGTGGTAGTGGTAGGGGAGGGCAGACTGCGTTGCAGTGCGCTGCTGCAAGGGGGCATGATGAGGTTGTGAGGTTGTTAAGGAGCAGGGGGGCGACGGGAATGGAAGGTGGAGGGGTGACTTTGTTTGGTTGAGTTTATCATGTCGAGCACCGGTGGGAGGAACTATTGTGCATACGGGTTAATTAAGAGCGTGGATTGGGAGATAAGACCATGTTCCAAAGATATGAAGATACGGGTGTTTTGAATGAGAAGTTGATGCCGGTGGGTGTAACTGTTGGGAGATGTGAATCCAATTGTAAGAGGAACAAGATACAACAGTAGAAGTGAGCTGCCCAGTATCTGCAAGAGATCGAGAGATGGACAAATCAGACTGCAACGTGGCCCAAGAAAAGAGAAAAGGGAACTCTTCTGGCTAGGAGTATCTAGTGCATACTCATTGGTGGCGCATGAACACCGCAACCAACACCATACACCTCACACACCAAACTTTCCCACCATGACACAGGCCGCACAACCCGTCTGTCAGAACATCAGCCAAGTCAGCCGACTCTCCCAAGACAAGGGAATCCCTCGCCTCGAATCGGTTCACAACCTTAGCGGTATCAGCCATGGTATAAGTATCTGTAGTCTACTAAGGTATGCAAAATGGTCAACAGATGGTGCGGGCGTCACGGCCGCGTTCAATCGGGGCAATTCCGGCCCCGCCTACCATCGGCTTCCACCGGCCTCCGTGACTGCTTCACCCCGCCGGCGAGACCTGCCCGTTGCGCACTCCCCGGCCCAGGCGGAAGACTAAATAGGCACGTAGCCACAAACAATTACCTAAAAATGTGTCCCAGATTTCCAAGGCACAGTTGTCTACCTTACCTTGGTACGAATTCTTTCGTCCGTACTTCTTAACAGTTGTATCACCTTCACAGCACATCCGCTAAGACGCTACCCCGTGACGTAAGACTTGGCTTTTACCACAATGAGCCGCTTCGCAATGTGGACCTGCTGACCATCTTTTGGTATCCTGATTCCTGTGCGCTGGTGAGACGGAGGGGGAGAAGAAGACGAAGAAGAGGGGGCTTCGAGGTCCTTTTTGTGCTTTTGGGACGTTTATTGTGTATCGATCAAGGCTATCTGTACATCAGCTCACTCTCACACTAGACCCGTCTTTGCCAGCCCAACCAGCCCCCTTGCCCTTTACCTCACGCCCCCTCCAATCCATACCGTATCTCACATCTTTCGAACGAGGCGCTGTGATCCTGGAATACCTGGGGTTTGACTGGGTCTTCCCCGCCAACGCTTCCCATCGTCTGGTGGGGCACGTCTTGTGCGCAACGCCCGCGCCAGTACAAGCCAACTTAAGGTACTTTCTGAAGCCGTCTGGAACACGAACCAAATTGATAAGAGGACGGCGCTTTGTCCCTCTTTTTACTTTATCCTTTCCCGACCCCAGCTTCTGGAAGCTGAATCTGACTTTCTTCTTCCTCATTTCTGCTTCTCGCCATCCTCCAATTCCTGACCTTCTACAACTTACCTGACTCTGCCTCTCTCATGTTTGTTCATGTGTGGTGTGACGTGATTGACCAGAAACAAACAAGACACCACCCGCCATAATACACTCAAAAGGGAGCTATCTTGCCTACCTTGACAACGTAGACAAGAAGAGCAAAGACAAAAATCCACACAAATCTACACAAAAATCTCCAAACAGATTCGACGTCCCAGAGACAACAGGCATCATGGGCTCAACCCACGAAACAGACCTGGTCCTCACCCAACCAACCCCAGCAGAGCGCCTAAAGACCTACACCTCAACCTACGCAAACTGGGGCGCCGCCCTCGAACTACAAGAATACATCCGCCGCGAATCCTACATGACCACCGTCCCCGTCTCCCGCAACGGCGGCATCACCCAATGGATCCTCACCGACCCGACCCTACCCCCCGACGCCCGCCCCATCTTGTCCTCGTGCGAAAGCATCCGCAAGACCGTCCTCGTCGCGAAACCAGACGGCACCGTCGTCGACGCAATCACCCACGCCGTCGGCTCCGTCTTCACGGACCCGGCGTACCGCGGCAACGGGTACGCCTCCGTCATGATGAATCTCGTGGGAGCCCAGCTTGCGCGGTGGCAGGGCGCGGAAATGAAGAGCGGGGAGCGGTGGGGGGATATTCGGGACGGAGAGGTCGCGTGCTCGGTGCTGTATTCTGATATTGGGAAGAAGTTTTATGCCAAGCATGGGTGGCATCCGTATGAGAGTACGCACCTCGAGTTCCCGCCGCAGGCGTCGCCGCCAGCATCGGAAGCGGGAGAGGGAGAGGGAGCGGTGGGAGCGGTGCAAGTCGAGACCTCGCCGCTAGGCTACCACGAACTAGCAGAGCTCTGTGCCGTAGACGAGCGCCTCATCCGCGCAAAGCTCGCCCAGAAGAGCACAAAGACCCGCGTCTCGCTCATCCCGGACCTGGACGCCATGCTCTGGCACCTCATGCGCGAGGACTACATGACCAAACACATCTTTGGCCAAACACCCACAGTCCGAGGCGGGGTCGTGGGCGAGCACGGGTCGCGGGTATGGGCCGTCTGGACGAGGGGTTACTACGGCGGATTGAAGAAGCCCGAGGGGAACACGATGCATATCCTGCGGCTTGCGATCGAGGACGAGGAAGGGAGTGGTGATGAGTATGTGCAGGGGGCTATTGAGGCACTACTCAAATTGGCGAGGGCGCAGGCGGCGGAGTGGAAGGTGAATGGTGTGGAGATGTGGAATCCTGAGCCCCGGGTTAGGGGGTTGATTGAGAAGGCGGGCATCCCGCACGAGTTTATTGAGAGGGAGAATGATAGCATTGCCAGCCTCATGTGGTATGGCCAAGGAGAGGTCGAGTGGGTGCTCAATGAGAAGTTTGGCTGGTGCTGACCGATTGGTTACACATTTTGCATATCATTAGCAGGCTCATACAAGTGGCAACACGTTGATTCAATAGGAACTTCAAAAATATTCACAGGTCTGGACATCCAGGCCGGCATGACGAGGTATCATTAGCAAAGTGATCTATGAACCGTCTAACCTTGAACACTCCCGCAATTGGCCCATTTTTGCTTTTAATCTTTTTTTCCAAACACCGCTCACTCTCATCAGTGACCGTGTCCGTCGTCCTCGGCCTGCTGCTCGGGGTCCAACTTGATCAGGGTATCGATACGCATGATGCTGATGCAGGCCTCCACGGCACTCTTCAGCTGCCTGATCTTGCTGATGGTGGGCTCCAGGACACCGGCCTTGATCTCGTCAATCACCTTGCCGCGCACCAGGTCGAGGCCGTAGTTCTTGTAGGCCTTCTTGCGCGCGACCGTCTTCTCGTCATCGTTGGCCTCGCCCTCCTGGATGCGCTGCGACAGCGCGTGCCGGGAACGCAGCTGCGCGACGAGCTCTGATGCGTCCTTGGCGGCGTTGACGGCAAGAGTCTTGGGAATGACGAGCAGCGCCTGGGCGAACTCGCCAATGGCCAGCTGCTCGCGGGAGCCGACAGTGCCGGCAAACTCCTCGAGGTAGATGTGCAGGGCAGTCTCGACGGAACCACCGCCGGGAACGATGCTGCCACTCTCGAGCGTTCTCTTGACGGCGTTGAGGGAGTCGTGAATGGAGCGCTCCATCTCGTCCAGGGTGAAGTCGTTGGGTCCGCGAAGGATGATGGATGCTGAGGAGTGGCTCTTGGTGCCCTTGACGAGGATGCACTCGTCGTCGGAAATGCGCTCCTGGACAACCTCCTCGGCGTGTCCGAGGTATGACGGGTCGAACTTCTCGTCACCATTGAGATCCGACAGTGTGCTGAGCATGGTAGCGCCCGTCGCCTTGGCGATTCTGCGGAGGTCCTCCTTCTTGCATCTGCGAACACCCATGGCACCCTTCTCGACAAAGGTCTTGAGAACCATGTCATCGATACCCTTGGTGGTAAGGATGACGTTGGCACCCGCCTTGAGGATCATCTCTACTCTCTCCAGGATCATGCCCGATTCTCTCTGGCGAATCTGCTCCAACTGTTGAGGGTCATCCACCGTGATCTGGACACCCAACTTCATGCGCTCCTTTTGCAGGTTCATATCCAGCACCGCAATCTTGGCATCTTGTATTCTTGTCGGCATGGCCTGCGAGGCGACTGTGCAGTTCAGAGCGTAACCCTTGATCAGCTGGGACTCGAGGGAGCCCTTGCCGTGTGCCTTGAGAATGTTGACGGCCTTGACGGGGTATTTTGTCTCGTTGCGGCCGTTTGTCGACTTGACTGCCAGCATGGCATCGACGACCATATTGGCGAAGAAATCAGAGTCGGCTCCGATAATCTTGCTGGACATGGACGTCTTGCCAATGTTGACGAGAGATTCGCGTCCGAGGTTCTCGACCTTGATGCTGATGTTCTCGTTCATGTACTTGACGGCCTCGCGAAGGGCAAGTCGGTAACCGGTGATGATGGTAGTGGGGTGTATGCGGTTCTTCATGAGCTCGTTTCCTCGGCGAAGCAACTCGGCCGCGATCAGGACAACAGAGGTTGTGCCATCGCCCACCTCCTTGTCTTGTTGTTGTGCCAGGTCGACCAAAATCTTGCCCGCCGGGTGCTCAACATCCAACAAGCTGAGAATAGTAGCGCCGTCGTTCGTGACCGTGACATCCTACGCCGGGGGGTAAGCGGGGTCCAGGGGGGAAGGGGGGCCACCTAACATACACCAATATCATCCACCATCATCTTGTCGAGACCGCTGGGGCCGAAAGAGCTCTTGACGACATTTGCGATAGCTTGGGTCGCGAGAACTGCAAGTTTGTCAGCAAGATGAAGCTTCGTTGTGATTTGGCCGGTGGGGGGAGTGGGATATTGACATACCGTTCTGGTCTCTAATGTCGGCGCCGGAAATCTTCTGGCCACCGAGGAAAAGCGTGCCGCTCCCTGACTGCTCAAACATGGAAGCCATTTTTGCGCCTCACTTCCTGCGGTTGTGGTTGGATCGCGGGTTTTGGAGGTGGTGGATGGGGGTGGTTTAAGGAGCTTCGGTCGGTGTGTGCCTGGACAGCAATAGAAGCTTCTGTGCTGTGCCTGCCTTGTCTCCCCTCGACGCAACTTTTTTATCGGAGCCGGGGTTGTTCCAGGAACCGGGGATGTGGCTGGTGCTGCGTTATCTTATCGGGTCTCCAGGGCCCCTGCCGGGCAGCCCAACTCAGGTTTGACGGTACCTCACGTTCCAGACAGTCGGCAGCCCATCCGTGAAGTATCAATACTTGGAAGATATTCAAAGAAACTAAAGCTTATAAAGTAGTTTCCAGTATGCTTTGTTCTTCTCATAGTATCTTCATCAATTATTTGCCTGCTATGGCAATGTTCATTAACTTCATTCCTCTACATCGCCGTGCAGTGACATCCAGTGTGGCTTGACCCGAGATAAACGACCGGGGATGCTCCGCAACTGATTAGAAGCCCGGGCCACCTTCCGACCCCGTGGCTGGAGCCCAATTGACCCCTCACTGCGCTCCCACCCAACAGCTCGACACACGACTCACTTTTAGTGCGGGGCACTTTTTCCGTTGCATCGCACCGCCTTCTCTGCCCAAAATCTCCCAGTGACTCAGGCCGATCTGGTCAACGCGTCGCCAATTCCATAAGACGAGACCCTACCCGACTTCACGAGACGACTCTGCGATCTGCAGTCAATACCGCAAACATGGCCGACGCTACCGCTCCCGCTGAGCCGTCCAAGAGCGCCTTGAAGAAGGCCGAGAAGCAGGCAAAGATGGCTGCCGAAAAGGCTGCAAAGGCTGCCAAGCAAGCTGCCCTGCCCGTTGTCGGAGGCAAGAAGAAGGAGGACATTACGGGTATCACCGTCAAGAAGCATGAGGACTTCTCCGCCTGGTACCAGGAGATTGTTCTCAAGGCCGAGATGGTCGAGTACTACAACGAGATCTCCGGTTTCTTCATCCTGCGCCCTGCGTCCATGTACATCTGGACCGTTATCCGCAAGTGGTTCTCCGAGAGAATTGAGGAAATGGGTGTCGATGAGACCAGCTTCCCCATGTTCCTTTCCTCCAAGTCACTCGAGAAGGAGAAGGACCACGTCGAGGGCTTCGCCCCTGAATTGGCCTGGGTCACCAAGGCGTAAGTCATCTCTCCCTTGATCATTGCGCCAAGCCCCCTACTGATATCTCATCTACAGTGGTGACAAGGACCTTGAAGTCCCTGTCGCAGTTCGTCCCACCTCCGAGGCCGTCATGTACCCCTACTACTCCAAGTGGATTCGCAGCCATCGCGATCTCCCCTTCCGCCTGAACCAGTGGAACTCCGTTGTCCGTTGGGAGGCCAAGCAGACCACCCCTTTCCTCCGCACAAGAGAGTTTTTGTGGCAGGAGGGCCACACCGCTCATCTGACCGAGGAGCTTGCCGGCAAGGAGGTTCTCGAGATTCTCGAGCTTTACGCTGGTGTCTATGAGCAGCTTCTCGCTGTCCCCGTCGTTCGCGGCACCAAGACCGAGAACGAGAAGTTCGCCGGTGGTTACTACACCACCACTGTCGAGGGCTACATCCCCTCCAACGGCCGCGGTATCCAGGGTGCCACCTCTCACTGCCTGGGTCAGAACTTCTCCAAGATGTTCGATATTACCGTCGAGAACCCCGACAAGAAGGGTGAAAAGATCCACGTCTGGCAAAACTCTTGGGGTCTGTCCACCCGTGTTATCGGTGTCATGGTCATGATCCACGGTGACGATAAGGGTCTCGTCCTTCCCCCTCGCATCGCCAAGACACAGGTAGTTCTTATCGCCGTCGGCATCACTGCCAAGACCAGCCCCGAGGACAGAAAGAAGCTGGAGGACAAGGTCGACGATCTCCGCAACGAGCTGCGCAAGGCCGGTGTCCGCGCCGAGTCCGATCTGAGAGACGGCTACACTCCCGCCTGGAAGTTCAACGAGTGGGAGCTCCGCGGTGTCCCCCTGAGACTCGAGTTCGGCCCCAAGGATGCCGCCAACGAGGTTGTCGCCACTGCCCGCCGTGACACTGGCGAGAAGGGCTCCCTCCCCCTTGCCGAGATCTCCACCAAGGTCCCCGAGCTTCTCGAGACCATCCAGTCCGACATGTACAACAAGGCCGAGAAGTCATTCCGCGAGCACCGCCTCGTCCTAACTGAGTGGGACAAGGTCATCCCCGCCCTCGACACCAAGAACGTCGTCGTCATCCCCTTCTGCCTGGGCATGAAGTGCGAGGACCGCATTAAGGAGCTCACCACCAGCGAGCCCCCCGAGAACGCCACCCTCCCCGAGGGCAAGAAGCAGCCCAGCATGGGCATGAAGTCCCTTTGCATTCCCTTTGAGCAGCCTGAGAGCGGTCTCGTCCCCGGCGAGACCAAGTGCCTCAACCCCGAGTGCGAGGCCAAGGCTCAGAAGTGGACCATGTTCGGCCGCAGCTACTAGAGAACCAGCGGCGATGATATCAAGAGGAGTTGTGGGGGGTTGAGCATTTTTTTGCGCCGGAATAACGAGACCTATACGGCAGGTTCGATTCATGTCATGTGTTGCTAGAGAGACGGGGTAGAGGAAGAGATCATTTGAGGATATCTCTGATGAGCAAAGGGCGTGAGGGGGTTAGATAGCTACGGCTGAAAAGTGATTCGATACCAACTTATGAAACAAATCCACGTACTCAAGTCTTGTTGTCCGCGTTCTATCGACCTGCATCTAGACGGGCAATCACCATCGAATTTCCTCAGACCCTTGGGCGCGAAATCACTTGTACTCTTGACTCCTTGCTGATGACCGAGTCGTATAGAATGGCCAAGACAAGTCTTCTTCGGAGAGCGACGAGGTCTGCCATGTTTTCAACTCGGTGGGGAATAGGAGCACGGCCTAGGAGGTGCGAAAATCGATAGCTTTTCACTACGGCACCTCACTTTGAGTGCGTCAGTAGCTCCAAAGATGTGGCCAAAGAGGAGATCAATTTGACTTGCGTACATGATCTTCTAAAGGCTATGTATGTCCTCCCAGTCGGAGGTCAAGTCCGCCATGTTATGGAATTGAGTTCGGCTCGGCTACGGCAGCAGACCCCCCCTGTAACTCGGACCGCAGTGGAGTCGATTCATGATGGCTCATTCAATTGCCAACGACGACGCATCCCGATAGGGAAGGTCTCGGCCCCGGGGTATGACTCATCTTTGGCCCCCATCCTCCAATCGCTTTCCTCTTGCAGCGTTGGGGAGTCACGCCGCATCTAAGATTTAGGGCAATCCTCGATTTCTTTTGCGATAATGGGCAGGCTACAAATCCTTTTGCCAGGTTCGAGGACAGCTCTAGGTTGTTTCGATGCTGCCAGTTGAGACGTGGTAGCTAATGAACTCCACAATTTGACTCAAGGAAGTTGTCGCGGGTACACGGCATCGGCTGATGAATGGCATTATGAGGGTAGTAATTTGGTAATACGTTTCTGATTCGCCAATTGCGTTTAAGATATCATTCTGGAATGAGAAGTCTCGATCGTTGCCACAATGAGCTCCATTTGCCTCTGGTTTAGTTCCTTGCTTTGACAACTATAGAGTGACGATTGATCTTTGGTACATAACAGTCGCACATCCAAAGCACTTTTAGTAAACGTCTCTCATCAGGCTATTTAACCAAGTAATCCCAACGACCTGAGGCATTTATCAAACACATAATCTCTGTTCGTCACTGTCAATTGCATCTCATGCAGGGCACAACCACAACCACAATCGCCAACACCACAACCACCACTATGGAGCACTCAACCGCCTCCTCCCATTTCAAGCTCTCAGCAACCTCATGCGGCACCTGCGCCGTCCACTTCGACAACCCCGACACCCGTCGCGCCCACTCAAAAAGCCAATGGCACGTCACGAACCTCAAACGGCGCATGGCCGACCTCGAGCCCCTCACCGCGGAACAGCACGCCGCGACCGTCTCCACACAATCGGCCGCCGGTCCGGCTAGGGGACCCACAACGGAATCCGATGCTTCGTCTTCATCTGCCTCTGACGCCGATCTGAGCGACCCCGAAGACGACGACGACGATTTTACCCTGGAACAGTGCTTATTCTGTAACAAAACCTCGGAATCGCTTGACGATAACGTCGCGCACATGCATAAAGCGCACGGGATGTTCATCCCAGATAAGGAAAAGCTCATCGTCGACGTTGAGGCGCTAGTGAAGTATCTCCACCTCGTCGTCTTCGGATATCGCGAGTGTCTGCAGTGCGGCACGCAACGACGGACGGCTGCAGCGATACAGCAGCATATGCTTGGGAAGGGCCACTGCCGCTTCGATGTCACGGCGGAGGACTCAGAGTTTAGGGATTTTTACGAGCAATCTTTAGAGGATGAAGAGAATACTGGGAAAGAATGCGACGTGAGGAAAGCCGTGGCAGATGCTTTGGAAGAAGGCGGCTCGATTTGTCTGCCTTCTGGGAAGCAGCTCTCTCACCGCTCTGCTCCGGGACCATCCAGACCTCGTAACAGGATTGGCGCCAATACTGAGCCAGCTGCCTCGGACAACCTCGTCGCTGAAGGCTCTTCGGGTATCAACGAGTCAGAAGCAAGCTTCCAGCTGACAGCACCGTCTGGGCCCGGCAAGAAACTCGATACGAAAGCCTTGACGCGCGCCGAGAAGCGGGACGTCGTCTTTGAGACACAGCTTTCCCGCTTGAGCCTCAACGATCGCTCAGCGCTTGCGCATCTGTCGTCTGCTGAGCAGCGAAGTGTCTTATTGACGAAGCAGAAGCAACTGGACAAGGCGGAGAAGGCTGCTAGGAGGCTTCAGACCAGGTTGGAGATGAAGGCGAATAAGACTGGGCAGGGGAACTTTGTGAATGATGTTCCTGGGCGAAAGAATGGTTGATCGATATAGGAGGATACAGACTTGTATCAGGTCTTGATGCAACTGTGTTCTTGTTGAGACCGTGGATTGTGAGATCTACTTAGAGGATATATCACTCCATATTGTCTGCTATTGAGTTTCGTTGCAAACGTTCAAGCAGTGACTCATTTGTGCTTCAAACCCACGCGGGAAGTCTCAGTCTAGCTCTAGCCTCTATCTCAGCGAGGAGAGTAGTAGAGAATCGATTTACCATAGATAGCTTTCTTTCTCACATTGATACTACTATCCTTGCTAATATCTTGTTACACCCATTGGAGATATTACTCACAAAACATCCCCGAGAACTAAATAGGATGGGTCGGGGTAGTGATAGAGAGAGCAATCTTAAGGTTACTTAGTAAATACGCGTGATTACGAACTTCGAACGATGTTGCGAGACGAGAGAATGCTCATTGGCAATATCGCTAGAAAATTTGGCCTGTATGAGCTTTGATTTCAGGCTGTTTCAATCGCAAGATGTGATGTTTTTAAGTGTTTGCTTGATCCTCCAACGCTTAAAAATGATAGCGACAAGATCATCGATCGCATAACCATCCCTCTTCCTCGTCAAAGACTCTCCTGTAACACCCCAGAACACGCATCGGATGACATGATCTGGACAAGTCTTTGCGGAAAAGCATAGCTTCGGTACCCTTGTTCACCACATCACACCCCTGTGCGAGGTCGTGGGGGTAGTTGAAGAGTGCCGAAATGTCTTTCTTGATGGCTGCCATGCAATCAACATCCGATGGAAAGACTTTCCGCGTGTGAGGGTACATGGCGGTCAAGGTGGGGTCAAGAAAAGGTTATACGCGCCACGTTTTCTGCATGGCCATGGCGATTCCTTTCGTTATATTTTCAGGGGCTGGTCATGCCTTCAGAGAGTTTCAACCCCAGATGGTCTAGACAAGTACCAGACTCTGGCAATGAATCTCCCTTGAGACCTCGGACGGGATTCGGGCAAGCCATCGACAGATTTGGATGCCGGGACATGGGGATACGTCACAGCACCTGGACTGCAATGCTAACTTTGGCTATCATTTACTCCATTTCTGCCTACCTCGTCGCTTTCGGGATACCTTTCATTGTCCATCGCTTTCTATCAGGGACCTTCCTTGGTTGTAGCCCCTGTCTCGTTGGGACGTCAAAGAGCGGATCTTTGGCATTCACATTGCGAGATTGAGATCCGTCTCATCCGCCTCGCATCTCTTCACGGTCGAACGAGATTTGGACCCCGAAAATAGATGGTATCAGAAAGACAAACCCTCTTGGATCGAGGGCAAGGGTGACTCTGAAGAGATCGTCAAGTTACTAAAAAAAAAAAAAGAAAAAAAAAAGGCAGCGGGTGTCTACGCTTGTCGACTTGGGAACTCTTTCATTCATCGTCTTCGGGGCCGAGAGACCCCTTTCGGTAGCTCTTCTGGCTGGCAGAGAGGGGGGGGATGCTCAGAGCTGTTTTGCGTAGTTGGAGCTTCCAAAACGATTGCCTTTACAAGGAAGCCATCGTCAGAATGCCTTCCAGTGTCTTGTCTAACGCAAGACCTACGAGCTGGGTAAAGCTCTGCATTCATTCTCTGGACGAAACGCGTCAAGCCCACTTCTAAGTACCCGGGGTCGAAGAAAGATGCGGCCAGACTGGGAACTTCACGACTTTGATCGAAGGCTATGCGACACAGGCCAAAGATGGCAAGAAGAACGCTCGAAAAAGAGCTCACTTAGACATGTAACAAGTGCACGGAGCACCATATCTGCATGATAGAGATTGAGAAGGCAGCTCAAACCTCCGAGAAAGATTCGGCTCCTTGAGTGGCACAAAGGGTGTTGACCAGTCCAGTCATGGAAGGGCCCAGGTGACGTGTAGTGTGCAAGACAGTATGGCCAGCAATGCGTACAACGCCGCAACAAAAGCACTGTAAGTTGCCACGACTGCTTAATGATCATACTACCTAGTAGCATGCGAGTCTGCCCGAGACGTCAGTGAGGATGCCCAAAAGGTTTGCCCCTCCAAGAGTCGGGCGTCAGTCTCTTTGTCAGCCGCTATTACACTTCTTGTTCTGGACTCCATGACATTTGGCGATGGTGATGTAAATACTTGATCCATTACTTAGATATGAGTCAGACTCTTTTCTAGGTGTCTGCATGTACTTGGCGCATTTGACCTGCTATCTACTTAATTTCCGTATTTGCTCGTGTCAGCAGCCTAGATTCAAAAGCTTTGTACCGGTTCCGTGTGTTGTGAGTACGGTGCCGTGGTGCCCAACAATGCCATTGGTCATATGACCAGGCCAAATGTGATTGATCGAAGTTTGAAGTTGAGTAGAACTGTGAGCACCGCCTGCATGGCTTGCGTTGCATTCCTTAATTCGTTGCCCCTGAAGCTTATTGACGCACCTCAGCATCACACCTCAGCATCATTTCTGCAAGCCGCGCATGTGAGGTGTTGGACCTTTCAATTTTTTCTTAGCTCCGAGGTCCCTGAGTGTCAATTTTCTCTGTGTTTTGATCGAAAGGGGTTCTATGCCTACTCAGTAAGCTGGTGATACCTTGACTGTTGTCTGACTGTAGAGGCTGTGATAGGAATGTTGGTGTCTTGATCTTTGCAGTAATATCAGTTGTATAATGAAGTGATCTTCAAAGGCAGGAGAATGGCAATGGAGGAGGTGCGTAATCAATTTAACCTCGAACACGGTACATCGCTCAACTTTCTGGTCTGGTTCCAGGATCGAGGGATTGCAAACGATGGCTAGAAACCCCTCGTGCTTCCTTTCGATCAATTGATTTCAACCACCCACAAAGTCAATTGTGAACATGGCTCTAGCCTTCAAAATTTGCAAGTGAGAGGGACAGAAGTAGCGGAAGGTATAGGCGCAAAGTAACTATGACTTTGTCGAATGTGCATAGGCTCCTGTTTTGCGAATGATTTGAGATTCAGGGATGAGAAAAGTGTTTGGGGAAAATAGCGCCAAATAGTCTTGCCTAACTGCGTGGATCAAGATCATCGCGCATTGAATGACGAGCTGTCTGCATAAGTCAATAAGCACCGCCATGGTTGCTACTGATGATCTTTTCTGCAAACTTCTAAGTAACTGACCATGGGCTGAGTCTTAGCTTATAACTTACAGCAGGAGAACCGGCTCTGGCTTAGCAGTGGAGATACGGAGACGATGGCAGGTCATGAGGATTCGAGAAAGTACCAGTGTTACGGCGAACACTGATGCGAACTACGTGTCTTTTTTATTGGGAGCTGCGAATCGTTCGATGTTGGCTAGTCCGAGGCCATTTCACGATTATCGTTGTAGACAGACCAAGCATTGCATTATTATTGGAGCTACCCTGTTCCACCCAGCTCGCCCCGTTCTAGGTCTCTTCACTGAATAAGTACCTACTTATAAAAGTCCCTTTGGATCCTCATTTCTTTTCCTCTGCTTCTTGCTTGCTTCTCTTCATTCTTCCTCAAACTTAGGCCATACCGATTAAGGTGCTGTATGGACCTTGTCTTGCCCACCCTCCATCTTTAGTCAGCATTTCTTGTCAACGCACCGCATCACTCCACAGCTTCCACTTCGATCTCATCCAACCTGCAGTTGACAAATCACCATCGTTCGCTATCTCCAATCCACACGGACACATGGCCTGTCGACCCTGGAATGGCCCATGATTTTGATGTGGCCTGAGGGGTGACTTTGTCACGTGCAGAAATCTTTGCCAAGGATTTGGAACATCAACTCTCGACATACCCGGGATTGTTATTTTCCAGACATCAAATCTACGAATCTAGGACTGACACCAAAAGCTTCCTTTTCACAAAGCTCAGGATTATTGATGCCCAACAGGTGGGCCGGCCCCGCCTATGCGCTTTGCAAAAGGTCCAGACCGACCTACCATGCGAGTGCATCAGACATATCACGTCGAAAGGGTCTCGGTAATATGACCAATCATGAATTCACCAACACAGCGATCCAGACATAAACACGTATGAACAGACGCCAAGTCGTTGCCTTGCCCTTTTTTCTCACTGCATCTGGTTGCCTTCATTGTCTAAGGAGTCGCCTTCGTCCCAGTGAAGAGACAAGTAACAGCACTAATTCTCAGGAAACTCGAGTTCATGTGCTCGTTCCACCTCTGCCAGTGCGCCTCGAGCGCTTCGTCGGTTTCTTCCCGCAAGTACTGTCGTATCATGCCTCAAGGAATGCGGGCGTAGCCCGCTGGCATGATCTGACTACTTCTCAGCCGCACCTCGCTTACCCTGGCTAGTAGCTGATTGCCGCGTCTGTTTTAATTTATGACTCTCAAGACGCGATTCCTGAAGTCTAGGCCCTGGCAGGACCAGGCCGTGATCAACTGGCCCCAACATACACGCATGACGAGATACCGCATCCGGCCACGTCGCATGCAATGAATTTTCAGTTCCACTGAACTTGTGCCATGTTATTATGGTCATTACGTCACAGGTGGTGAAAGAAGTCTTGCAGGTTGTTTCTCTAGGAGCTTTTCCGGGGTAATGAATCGTTTTGCACGCCATCTTCGCTCTCGTTTTGACTCCATGTCAGCTACATACAACAGACTCAAACCACCTGCTGTCACCTGACCTTTACCGTTCACGCGAGTGCGTCCTTCCCAGTGCTTTCAAATTTACCCAAAACTTGCGGGCCTGCATTGAAATAGTAGTTTTTCATATTTGCCTGGGCTCATGATAGGTGTGATCAAGATACTCTCTCCCCGAGATGGGTTGTTCCAGCTCCAAACTAAGGAGGGAACCCTGCAAATTCCTATCACTGGGCTGTTGCAACGCTATCATGCAGGTGCCCGCGGTCAACGGAGAATATGACTTCCTCCAAGAACTGTTCGATTTGTTACGTGAGTCTAGTCACAACGTAGAATTCTTGTGATCATGCAGTCAATTCATCATCTAAGTGGTGAGGTGCTCACCCCAGGTAAATATGTGTCCGTATTCGCTTCTTGCTGCCCACCATCGATGCCAGATTGCATCCTAACAGGAAGCTTGTTCCCGGCCTAGCAAAGATTATGCCCGTGACCATTCACCCAAGCCTGTCCGTATTGACCGCCCCCGGGTTTCAGGTACAAGACTCTAAGGTGAGAAAATTATGTGGGGAGCCCGGGGTATAACCTATGGCTAACGACTTTGGTTTCTCCGGTGAACCGTGTGAGCCAGACGACTCCAGGACTTGCCACCGACATGTTGACATTCCGGTGTCCAGAGAACCGAGCGTCCAGTCAAATCGAACCCTCGCCTACGATATCATGCTAGTTTTCGCGTTAAAATATGAGGGGCAAGATTGCGCCCGGCTTTCGCGCGATGGTGAATTTACGCGACAGCACACAAGACTTTGAGGTCATGATGGTCCGCCAACCAGCACTACAACACCAGGAATCTGTTCAGGGCCAACTGTACCGTGGAGAAAATAAGGCGTCGATGGATGCTCTTACGGTATGGAGAACAGTCAGTCATGCGCGGGGCCGTTGGTCTATGAAGTCAACAATATAAAGACACTTTTGATCTACCAAGTTGTTCTCATACATTTTCGGCTTTTGATATCTCATCAGAGACTTCAACAGTAAAGTTTGCCGAAGCTTGGACTTAATTTCGACCGCAGTGGTATTAGCCCACTCACCTCTATCAAAAAGCTTTCCGTCGGGGAGTGTTCTCCCCAAAGATGAACAAGTACGACCCATCTTTCTCAGCACATGACTTTGCTGCCAAAGTCAGCACACGTAGGCATAGGTTCATCCTGCTAAGGGTATAAATCTCAGGCAAAATTCTACAGCTGGGACGAGGGGCCCATACCCCGCAAATGCTCAAAATAGAGAGGCCGCGGCGCTTCGACAACAGCGTTTTGCCACATTTGAAGCCGAGCCACTTGAGGCTGGAAATAGGCTCGTCTTACTGCCCACTCAAACCGGAGATGTCAAAATCGCAGAGGAAGCCCATCGCCAGAGAATTTCCGCCAAGCTGGAGTCCTTGTAAACCAAGATACGACAAGAGGAGAAGCATGGACCAGTTGTGAATGTTGGCCTCATTGATGTATGCCTGACTGGAGGAGATAAGGGCTCTGTCACGAGAATGAATGTATCTGCGGGAATGAAGCACAGCCAATTATATACCGAAGAAATCAGAGTGGTTGGGAGATAGTTCACCGTAGGGCGGAGGCGGGAGGATGCAGAGGAAGACGGGGCGGGGTCTAACGGGCCGGCGGGAGGTTACACCAAGCGACAGACCGTTCTATGCCAGCCAAGCACAACGTTCTAAATTGAGTGATGCCCAGTGACGTCACTGAAAGCCCCATGGATGAGTGCGACTAATGCATTGTAGGCATTGCTTTTCTCTCTCACGCACCTCGGATCAATCATATAATACAGAGACTGATGAATGTTTGCAATAACATTATGTTGGCACCTTGATAATATAAAAAGCTTCTAATGCCTATTGAGGATGGCAGAGCCAGTCAGAAAGGTTGCGACCACACTAATCTCTTCCATTCCGTTCCGTGATTGACTTGTATGACTATCAAGAGTTCTTATGCCCAGGGCACATGACGCTGACTTGTGTTGTGGTAAACTTAGGGAATGGGTTCGGCAGGTTCAAGTTTAGGTTGTTGGTCGGTTTCCGCGGCACAGTGATCTGTTCATCGGCCATGAACTGCTTGCATCCCCAAGTGACGACACCATTGCGCACAACATCACCACCACCGCAGGCATTTTGGGCTGTAAAAAAGAGAGTTAGCAACTTCGTGTCCCCTCTCGAGCATTGTCTCAAGAGTATCTACTCACGTCCAATCGGGCCATCCTGACCGGCCTTGCCATATGCAACAATGCGTGTTGGGGGAGGATCGTTGCGAGCGGCCTCGGTCACGGCATCATCCAAGTAGTACTGGGAACAATCAGTATATCATCATTGGGAAGCTGGGAATAGTGTCTGGATATGATAGAACTGACCTGATGAACAGCAGCAACCTCGGCACAGCTGGCCTGTGTTCGGTGCTGCTTATCAACGGTGGTGCCACGCTTTGCCGCGTCCTGCAAGCTAGTCTGGCATCGCTCAAGCGCAACGACAACCTGAGGCTTCAGACGCGAGTCTGCATAAGTATACAAGAAGGGCCCACCCTTCAGGTTGGAAGAGAGATAGACGTCCTTGCCGAGGGCCATGGCCGCCATCATGACGGGTTGTCTGTTGAAGCGAACTTTATCCGCATTGAACTTTGTCTGCATCTCGTTGAAGGCTGCGCGGGCGAGACCGTACAGTTGGCCGTCATTGAAGAGCGTTCCGGTGTCTTGTTCAAAGGTGAGCTTGGCAGAGTAAACGAAACGTTGTGCATCGTCGCGCGCGGCCTTGTCGAGGGTGATCCCAAACGTCTGAGCAGCGACGTTGAGGATGAGGGTGAAGAGCAAAAAGAGTGATGAGAGACTGGCTCCCCAGCTACCGCCGGCGTTGAACCACATTGTGGATTACTTTGAGACTACTTCAGATTCTGGAGCAGGACTTCCAGTGATAGACTGGCAAAAGAGTGTAAGGGCAGAGGGCCGGGGAAGGAATGAATGGACGCGAGACCGCGGAGTAGTTCAAGAGAGTGACAGAATGATGCGACGATGGTTATAGCATCATGAGAGAGACACCTGGTACCTTGAGGAACCGGGCTGAGTTGCCAATGACATAGTTAAGTTATTTGTCAGATGACTTACGAGCAACTGCTCCGAACTTTGTGCCTGACTTGTAAACTAAACCATCTCTTGGCAGTAATTTGACAGCTTTCCCAGCATCCTAGCAAGAGTTGGCCAGGGCCATTAGTTCGCCTGACGTTGATTAAAGGTCGAAGTCAAACCCATACCAATAATAGCCTACCACAACGACGTCGGAGTGGAAATACTTGCCCGACGGAACCGATCTAGTACGTTGAAGGAGATAGAGTTTGAGGAACAGTAAGGCTAATTAGAGTCGGCGCCCGCGGCGGTTGTAGGCTACGCTGGGGGCGAAACCCACGTGTGGGCAGGCCGATTGACCAGAAAAGTATAGCTTAATAGGTATACGAATACACATATTAGTGGGCAGGTAATAACGACGGTATGCCCGGGTATCTTGGTGGCCTTGGCTCTTGGGGCGGAGGAGTTTCGTCTCATGTTGTGACAGCCTTTGGCTTGGCGCGCGCGGTTGCCGGCAAGGCGGTAAAACCGTAAAACTCAAAATCAATCTCAACCGCCACGGCGCTGTTGCGGGCAGCAAAGTAAAAGGAAATAACGAGCAGAAATATGATAAGCCCGGGGCTGCCGAGGGCCTTTGCTTCATTTACGATGTCCGTATTCCGTATGTAGTCGGCGATTGTCCGTACAAAATCTGACGACACTGACTCGCTCTTCGGCCCGAGCACCGGTACGCTCCGCCACGACAAGACGCTTAGAGTTAATTAAGGAAATAGAGACTAAGGCACTTTGAGATGTTCCAGATTCATCATACATTGCAGCCCGCTTGGCGCGGAGACAAGTTGCGAATGGTTCATGCTGCAACAGCAGTTATAGTCATGCAACCACCGCCGTGTCGTTGATGGATTTGTTTGGGGTTTTGAGCAAACCATTCCACTCATTCAGCATCAACCTATGCTTTTGATTTCAAAGTCACTCTTTTTTGTTCTTAGCCAAACATGAAGGCTTACACACTGAGTCTCGGGCTCCTTGCCGGGCTCGCACTTGCTCAGAGTGACTCAACGGCCGAGGAGGTCTTTGGAGCTATCGACCAGTGCAGCACGGCCAACTTTGACCAGTGCCTGAAAGATTCTACTGCACCTCATCGTTGCCTCAAGGTTCAGAAGTTTGCTGAGTGAGTACACCATATCACAACACATCTTCTACAATTACTCACATTGTTCCAGGGAGATTGTTCAAGATACATGTGTTTACAGCTGCCCTGATCAGTCACCTTGTCTCACAAAATGTGGTACCGACCGTGGTGGCGCATGGTGTGGTGAAGGGTAAGTTGAAGTCTCTTCACATGATCCAACAATGTCAATGATAACTAACCTGCCTATCTAACAGAGGGACCTGCTTCTGCGACCAGGGCTGGGATACCGCTCAGCCTGCTCCCGCAGACCCTTATGACCTCTCATGGGTGAAGAAGTGGGCTGCTATTGGTGATTCTTAGTGAGTTCCCATCAAACCAGATGGCCAGCGCTCATCATCCTAATTTGATTGTCTTGAATAGCTCCGCCGGCATTGGCTCCGGTTCGCCGTACCCCAACAGCTCAACCACCTGCGCTCGTTACGACCAGTCGTACCCAGCCTACATGCAATCCCACGAACTCATGCCCGAGTCTGCTCAGTTCGAGTTTCTTGCCTGCTCCGGCGCCACCGCCCCCGAGATCCTTGCCAACCAGGTCTCCGCGCTGGGCACCGGCTACGACATCATCACCGTCAGCGCTGGCGGCAACGACGTCGGCCTGACCAGCATTCTCAACGCCTGCATCTTCCAATGGAACCCCTTTGCCAACTGCCCTGACGAGATGCAGGCCACGCTGAACCTCATCCGGGATACTCTTCCAGGCAACTTGGATAAGCTGTACGCTGGTCTCAAGAACAAGATCAACCCGGGCCGCAAGATTTACGTCACGGGCTACGCGAACTTCTTTGATAACACCACGACTGCCTGCGACGACGTCAGCTGGTCGTTCTGGTTCAACAGCGCCAACAAGCAGAAGCTCACCACTGAGCGCAGGACGCTGATGAACGAGCTCACTACTGCCGTCAACAACGTCATCCAGGCCGCGGTCAGGAGAGCCGGTGCCTCATTCGAGTTTGTCGACTACAATCAGTACTTCTCCGTGCTCCAGGGCCGCTTCTGCGAGGGCGCCACCAAGGAACCCAACGGAAACCGCGATGGTCTTCTCTTCTTTGAGTGGTCTAGCAAGAACGACGATACCACCCTCGCGAGACGGGAAGCCGAGCCCGAGGTCGCATCTTTCAACAACGACCAGATGCTTCCTCGTGCGACTCCCACGATTGGAGATGTCGATTCGTCTCTGGAGATGCGCAGTAGCAAGCTGGGCCTCTTATCCATCCTCTCCAAGCGCGCCGGACAGATCTGGAGCGCCTTCCCGCGCAGACAGACCACCAAGTCCAACACAAAGACGCCCGTCCTAGAAGTCCGCCAGGGCACGGTCGCGTCGCCGTCAATGGAGCAGTACATCGCCGACCAAATCACGGAAGCGCGCAAACGCAACTCAAGCCTTGTCATCTCCCTCGCTGATAACAGCGCCGCGGACCCAGCCTTCAGAGGCCGCAACAATATCGAGGTCTCGGACTTCATCGGCGACGAGATCAAGCGGGTGTTCCACCCGCGTCCCGGTGGCCACGCCGTGATTGCGAACCTCGTCATGTGGCGTCTGGCCGAGGATAACGCCGCGACTGTCGGCGACAAGGAGTTTGGTGCCACGGAGGCTGCGGGCTGCGCTGTTCCTGTGCCGAGCACGCCGTCTATGCCTGAGACGATTCCCGGCGTGCTGCCGAATTGTCAGGCTGCTGCGCTCAAGTGCCTGAACTGCTTGGGTGGCGCAAGCGGTCTTGGTGTGTTTGTTTGCAATTTCCAGCACCACTCTGATTGCAATGCTTGTGGCGGTGGTGACGGATGCCCGTGCTAGACGTGTCGTGTGGGTTGCGTGGATAATAAGGATGGCCGTTGCGGGGGTAATGTGACCAGCGAACTTGAGCCTTTCATTCTTCTCGTTGGTCTAGAGATATCACTTAGTCTACAGTCAAAATATTTCATTATTTCAAACACTTGTGCCGTCTATGATGCCCCCGGTGGTGTTGGCCTTAAGCACATTTTTGTGATTATCGATGCAGAACGAAATGGCAGACACGATGAACCTACCAACTTAGCTGGGTATCAGAATCAGATTCATACAGTGATAGGCTTCTAAATTCCTTGCCTATCTATGGCTTCAACTCTACGGTAATGGTTACTCCAGCTTCAGATCCTCTGGCGATCAGGTTGGCATTCAACTCCTCTGCCCGTTGCTCCTCTCCAACCATCGAAATCTCCAACCTCAGCTCTTTCAAGTGTCGGGGCCGGCTCTCCAGATATTCGACAATCTTGGCCTCAAGCGACTGCCACATGGGAACCACAGGGTCATCTTCTTCCCAGTCGAGGTCGTCCCACCGGTAGTGCCACCAAAAGAACATTTCGTTGGTGATTGTCAATGCCTGGAGACCCTCGGGGAGTACATCCGCGAGCTTCGACGAGCCCTTTGTTTCCCAGCCGAGAAGTACCGGCAAAGAGATGGAGAGGCGAGTTAGTCGCCTGAAATCCTTGAGTGACCCAAGTGAGCCGCGGATTCCCCAGGGCCCGACCTCGCCGCAATCGATGGCAGTGGACGTCCACAGCGTCAGCGCAAAAGAGAGCTCTTCAAGCGATGCTTTCAATGTGTCGAGCAAACTCCTGAGCACCTCCAAGTCCACCCAGTCAGACGCGTATTCGGCGTCGACAGCGTATCCGCAACGGAAAGCCTTGAGATTCGGGGCAGCTCGCAGTAGTTGGCCAACATTCTCCTCGGAGAGCTGGCATCTGCTCAGAACCAGTTCTTCTAGTGTCGCTGATGATGGGCTCGGGTGGGGAGCTGGCCAGGTGATTGATTTTCCTCCATCTTCCACTCGATGAAGCTCCAAAGTTCGAATTTGCGGAAGGTAAAAGAAGGGGAGAACATTCTCGGCGTAGACGTAGAAGTTGAACTCATTTGCCGATTCCCCGTTAGGAGTTGGAACTAGAACCTTGATTGTTTCCAGATTGCTGAAAGAAGAACCAGCGACAGTGCCCGCAGCGACTAACTGGCTTAAAACAGTCAAGAACTCATCCCCGGGTGGGCGATATTGTGTCCATTCGTGGTGATCGTTCCGATCATACGTCTGCACCTCAAGTGTCTTGAGGGCTGGGAGCCGCGATAACAGGATGGCGGTCGTTTGTGCAAGCGGAACCTCTGATTCTTGTAAGAGTGCCTCAGACCGTTCGGCCAGTAGGCGGGACTCAGTGATCCACGACTTGATGGTGGCTTTATCGCTTGTAGTGAGACTTTTTGCAAGTGCTGCGGCATGAAGATCCTTCGCAGCTCTGACGCCGCGCAATGTGACGTCTCTGATGGGAGTCAGATGCGATGCGTTGTTCAACAGTCGTCGCATGTCCTCGACAGCTGCTGTGAGATCTGACTGATCCCAGTCCCACAAAATGGCGGTCGGTGTTGCTTCATGAGCCATGATGGGATTGCCTTGTTGATTCAATGAGATCGAATAAACCGTTCGTGTGATGCTCAATTAATCCAGCGGGGAGATTGGGAGATTGTCCTTATTCAACGTGGAAACCACGGTGAAAGTGGTTCTCAACGACGTGTTCGTCCCGCCTGAGTGGTACCTCCGTTGCTTCGTCTGATTATATTTAGCGGCTCATTCCCTAGAGTTTTGGTCCGCGAAACCTTAAACAGCCCTGTCGATTTACGTCTTACACACCAACTTGGCGTGTCAAGGATCAGTCATGTCATGTTAGTCATGCTGTCAATGCCACGCCAGCTCGCGTTTGTGGGGTCTCTGCACTACTCCGTACACGAATTCTACCTAGTGGTTCTTGCACAATAATAATTACTTCCGAGGTGCTCCAAAGGAGAGAAAAAAATTAAGCATCATCCTCATCCATGATCAGTCATCAATCACCACGTGAGATTAGCCACTGCCCGAGCCACCCGGTATATTGTGGCTGACCTCTTAAACTGTGGCTGGTAGAATTGTGGCTTTCGTCTACAAGTGGGACCCGTCATCCGAGGCTGATACGAAAGCATCGCAACTTCGTCTCATTCATCAACAGAACCCGAGCGTTGCGAGCCCCTCGTAAACTCGGAAACCCATGTCACTATCCACATCATTCGCAGCGCAATGAGCTTTCAACAACGGCACCGCCGAAACGGTGGAATTTTAACACCATGTTTGCTTGTAAAGAATAAGAAAGAGCGAACACGCGTACAATGCGAGCCACTAACATGCTGCGGCCTGGCATCAGCCTCAAACGGCGTTCCGGCGATGTCGAGAAAACTCCGCTTCAGCGCCGCTTACGCAAACGTGAATCCATCGTCAAATCTACCAGTTCCGGCACGGGTTTTCAGAGATGTCGTATAAATTCATCAGTGCCCATTCGCATCACACTTTGACTGCTCATTACTGCAACTGCCGCTTTGCCAACTACGGAAAACATGTCCATCATTGACTCGGGAAGGAGTTTGGCGACTGCCGAGACGAAGGATGCTGAGTCTCTCTGCAACGTCCCTCCTCCATACGAGCTACACTCCGCTGGCCCGCTGTTATCTAGCGAGGCGGCAATACAGTGTCAGGATAGCATGCCCTTTTGCATACTCCGTACTTGGGACTGACCTTCAAGCAGCTGACGGCCATGTGAACATCAACTTCCGGTCGCAGAATCCTGAGGAGCTAAGAGAGCAGCTTCCTCCTTTCCCCTCAGCTGAAGATGTTACGTTATCGAACATCAATATCAAGCCGGTACCATACCTGAACGTCGTGATACAGGTTGTGGGCAGCCGCGGTGAGTTCTTTGTGAATGATGACCCTGAAACTTGACCAGTGACTGTTGCCTACTAATGCCAGTGTAACTAGGTGACGTTCAGCCATTCATAGCACTAGGCACAGCTCTCCGCCGTTACGGCCATCGAGTTCGCCTAGCCACACATGATACATTTGCCCAATTCGTGACCGACTCTGGCTTAGAGTTCTTCCCGATCGGCGGAGATCCCGCAGACTTGATGTCGGTAAGTCTTGCGTTTCCCTTTGAACCTTCTATTTCCTGTGATGACCACTGACGGATATCAAGTATATGGTCCGAAATCCTGGTCTGATACCTTCTATGGAGTCTCTCAAGGGCGGTGACGTGGGGAAGAAACGACGAATGATACGCGAAATGCTCCACGGATGCTGGCGTTCCTGCATTGATCCCGATTCCATTAGCAACCAACCGTTCGTAGCCGACGCTATCATCGCCAACCCCCCGAGTTTTGCCCATGTGCACTGTGCGCAAGCCCTCGGCATTCCAGCGCACATCATGTTCACTATGCCCTGGACAGCGACTCGAGCTTTTCCCCACCCGCTGGCGAACATTCAACGCAGCAAGAATTTGGAGCCGCAGGTCACGAACTGGTTGTCATATGGCGTTGTTGAGTTGATGACCTGGCAGGGTCTGGGCGATGTCATCAACAGCTGGCGAAGAAAAGATCTTCAACTCGCCCCGATTTCCGCCAGCATGGGGCCAGGCGTGACAATCTTTCTCAAGATCCCGCACACATACTGCTGGTCACCGGCCGTGGTTCCCAAGCCTGCCGATTGGGGTCCAGAGATTGATGTATGTGGCTTCTTTATGCGGGATGAGCCATCCTACAAGCCACCTGCCGACTTGGACGCCTTTCTTTCAGCCGGCCCGCCTCCGTTGTATGTCGGGTTCGGTAGTATCGTTGTCGACGACCCGGGACGTCTGACAGATGTGATCCTCGAGGCCGCAGATATTTGCGGCACCCGTGTCATCATCTCGCGAGGATGGAGCAAGCTCGGCGAGGGGAAGGCAAACAGAGACAGCGTGTTCTACCTCGGAGATTGTCCACACGAGTGGCTGTTTAAAAGAGTGTCAGCCGTAGTTCATCATGGAGGCGCTGGAACGACGGCTTGTGGCCTCATCAACGCGAGACCAACTGTTATTGTGCCGTTTTTCGGTGACCAGCCGTTTTGGGGCCGGGTCATTGCAAAGTCAGGAGCGGGACCCTTACCAATTCCTCAGAAAGAGCTTCACACGCAGAAGCTCGTAGAGGCTATTCGGTACTGCCTCTCGCCCGATGCCACTCATGCGGTGCAAGAAGTATCAAGCGCCATGCGACAAGAACGCGGCATAGGTAATGCTACAGGATCGTTCCATCGTAACATTCCTGCCAACGATCTCAGCTGCGATTTGATTCTAGGCCAGCGCGCCGCCTGGCTGTTTGAGAAACAGTCCAAAACGGGCACCAAGCAGATGAGACTTTCGATCCAAGCAGCGTCATCTCTGACCCATGCGAAGAAGATCAAGATGTCTGACTTGAAGCCCCTGCGGACGAAAGAGTACGACACCGATGGGATCCCATCACCGGTGGTGCCTCTTCACTCCTAGGCATCGTCACAGACTTCACCGTCGCTCTGGGCGGCACCTTTATCGATCCTTGGAAGGAGTACAAGCGTTACCGGGCCTCTGGTCATGAGGCCGGCCCAGCGACTGGTGCAGCCGCAGTGGCCATTGGCAAGGGATTTGCCTCCATGTCTGGGGCGATCGTCAAGGGCGGCCTTGTGAGCATGCCCCTCGCCATCACAGAAGGCCTTCACAACGCTCCCAGTCTGTACGGCGATAAGGTGCGAGACAATGGCAAGGTAGAAGACTGGAAGAGCGGAGGAGTTGTAGCCGCAAAGGTAAGCTTGGTTATCAGATAAGATCATCCGAGACCACGGCTGACGTGAACACAGACCTTTGGAACTGGATTCTATGACGGGCTGACGGGTGTCTTCACCGATCCCTACAAAGGCGCGAAGGAAGGAGGTGCTCTTGGATTAGCAAAGGGAGTTGCCCCGGGATCGTTCGGCCTTATTCTCAAGCCAGGAGCTGGTAAGCAAACAAACCTTGACTGATCTCACCAAAAACAGATGATATTTGGCAAAAGTTTTCGGTCCAAGCTAACCCGGCGGCGTGCCTAGCAATGTTCGGACTCGTCGCATACCCTGCCCAAGGAATTCATAAATCCCTCAAAGCAAGGACCGGTCGCAGCCATGAAGTGTTGAAGGCGAAAACCGCGCTCTTGGACCACGAGCAACGACAGAACAACGGGAACCCCCGCGACGGAAGCAAGGTCCTGCAGGTGTTCGACGCTTACTTTACGCAATAGAGTTACATCCATCAACGCTATTCGCGCATGCTACAACGTAGCCACTTAGATACTAGTATTACCAAGCGGCTGGAAGTGTCAATGGACTGTCTCGGGGTCTCCGCGGTCCATGCGAGTGGTGTCTTGATCACATCGCGTGGCTGGTCCTGTGTAAAGGGAGGGGAAAGGAACATGTAGGGTTACATTTGTCAGTTGTAAGACAAAGTTGTCAAGCATGCAGCCCACAACACAAGCTGAACAAACAACCCAACTATGGATGGAAAACAAGAAAGGTAGACGACCGAGGCGGGGCGGGAAACAAGAGAGCGAAAACAAAACAAAAAGCGGGTCTATGCCGAACCCCGGTTCCGACACCTTGATGTCCTCCGAGTTGAGCGGGGGTCCGAGAACCCGGATGGCCACCGGGCGACTCAGCTTCAAGCTGTAAAAGTCCGCCCCAACGTCACCGAATTCACGAGCCAACACGACTTAGCACTTCTTGGCCGTGGAGTCGAGTCTCTGCGACCGAGCCTCGCCATTCGCCATATGGTCCATTGGCCAATTGACCTCGAGAACATCAAGGTGATCGTGAGCTTGGCATAGAGCTGCCCGCGCCTTGGCGTCACCGACTAATACCTCACGCATGGCCAAGAGTGTTCTAAGAAGGCAATCGTGACCGACGACATGGACTCCACCGGCGCAATATTGGATCTTTTTCATCAAAGAAGCTTGTTAACGAGCATACGACGGGAGGGGAACGGGGAAGCATGGAGGGATTATCCAACTGCAACAAGCGGCAAAGATGGCTGGCGACGAACACAGAATCCGGAGGAAGAGGGCAGTCTTACGGTTTGGCGCATGCCCAACGGACCTTGCGACTTGACTAGGATGGAAGGATTTGCCTGCTTGTGGACATGAGCAACGAATCTGCCCAGAGAAACAAGCATGGCATGGCTAGCAGGTCTTGGCTCGACATCTCGAAGAGCCTCTCGAGGACCATTGGGGACCCGAGGAGATGGGACCGAGAAAGAGAAAATCTAATCCACATGGCAACTTGCAGCTATAAAAGACCATTGCATACCTCGCGTTCTTCGATATCAAGCTCCTATCTTCAAGCTGTTTCCTAATCTCCAAGTCCAAGCTCAAGCTCACATTTGACAAAGACTCTCACCAGTCCTTCCGCAAGAGCATCTCCAGGCTTTCCATCCTCAAATCACACCAACCAAGATGAAGTACAGCCTCGCCTCCGCAGCTCTGCTGCTCTCCGCCCTCACGGACGCGACCCCCCTCGCCCGCCGCCAGGCCTCCTCCTCCGAGACTGTCTCCGTCCCCGCGGCCCCGGCCTCCACCCCGCAAGCCCCCTACGACTGGTCTGCCGGCTGGCAAAAGACCTTCCCCATCCACCAGTCCTGCAACTCGACCCTCCGCGCCCAGCTCGAGGTCGGCCTCGCCGAGGCCCAGCAGCTCGCCGCCCACGCCCGCGACCACATTCTCCGCTTCGGCAACAGCTCCGAGCACGTCCGCAAGTACTTTGGCAACTCGTCCACCGCCACCCCCGTCGGCTGGTACGACCGCGTCGTCAACGCCGACAAGAACGGCATGACCTTCCGCTGCGACGACCCGGACCGCAACTGCGCAACCCAGTCAGGCTGGGCGGGCCACTGGCGCGGCGCCAACGCCTCCCAGGAGACCGTCATCTGCCCTCTCTCCTTTGAGATCCGCCGCCCCCTGACTTCCGTCTGCGGCCTGGGCTACAACGTCGCCAACTCCAAGCTCAACACCTTCTGGGCCACCGACCTCCTCCACCGCGTCTTCCACGTGCCCCTCATCTCCGAGGGCGCCGTCGAGCACTACGCCGAGGACTACGCCGAGGCCCTCGAGCTCGCGAAGAACAACGCCACCTACTCCGTCGTCGACAGTGATGCCCTCCAGTACTTCGCCATTGACGTCTGGGCCTATGATATCGCTGCCCCCGGCGTCGGATGCCCCGGCGAGCTCGAGGAGGAGGACCACGACCACGATGCTACGCCTACGACTACCGCTGCTGCTGGTGCCGCTACCACCACCGCCGCTGCGACTTCCAGCGCGCCCCAGGAGTGCCACACTCACGCTGACGGCGTTCAGCACTGCACCTAGGTCGTGCGTCTTACAGAGGCGACATGATTGTGTTTGAGAAGAAACAACATCAAAACGAAGTGAAGGAGTAGTGGGTGATAAGAGCAAGTAATGAAACATTGACATGCCGGAAACGATACCACTGGGATCATGAATTAGACGAATGAGGAAACATTCCAAACAACAACTTTTAAGAGGGGATTTCTTAATGAACATAGATTAGATCAAACACCCTCATTATTTAAAATTCAATAATAATAATGACAATTGCCTGTCAGAACAATACGCTCCCCCTTGCCATTCTCTTTTTGTGTGTAAATGCTCGAGAACCACTAAGTGGCGCTTCTCTATCCCCAACGCGGTTGAAAGTGTCGTTATTCAACCTTGCTGCCTTGCACAAATCCAATTACCAACGGCCGACTGGGCCTGTTGATAAGCGCACACACTAGTTGCCTGTTGTTGTATCATGATCATAGTCCAATCATTAACCTTTGAATGGTGCTCCCAACGACACTACGCTATGCAAACACTCAATCTACAATCAAGCCCTCCAAGACGTTCATCGCCTTGCTACCCTCGCTCTCAAACTTGCTAACCATAGCCTCGCACTCTTGTCGCAGCTTCGACTCGGCCTGATTGGCGTTGTGGTGAATCCACTCCTCCACTGTCATGCGCATCTCGGGACTTGTCAGCTCGGTACCTTTGTGAAGGAGTCTATCAACTGGGTTTCTCTTGTCCGACTTCTCGGGGGATCCGAAGACAAGGTCAATATCAACGGGGTTCCAGGGTGTAGTGCTTTGGAGACTCGCCAAAGCCTTGCGCTTAGTCGGCGAGTTAGGTCTTGCCGGGGTTGATGAAATAGGCGCATGTGTCACCCGCTTTTGAGTTGTGGAAGGTCTTGAAGACGGAGGCTGGTTCTCAGCATCTGAAGACTGCGGAGATGGTGAGGGGGAAACAGCCGCCTGGCGAGCTGACTGGGCAGGAGAGATACGCGGAGTACCTGATTGATGTTGCACACTCCGGCGAGCAGATGAGGTGAGAGCAGGCGATGATAGCGGTGGCGGAGAGCTCGTCTTCAGTGCGCTCCTTGGCGTGGGCTCAGGTGCCTCAGACTCGGGCTCAGGCTCAAGCTCGTCTGCTTGCTCCAGCTCGGACTCTTCTTCCTCTTCTGGCTCGTCTGCAAGTTCATCAGGGAGCTCTTGCTCTGGCTCCTCCAGCTCCTCGTGTTCCTCTTCAGGCTCGTCTTGGGGCTCCGCTGGTGCGGGCGTTTGCCGTGCCGAAGCAAAAGACTGACGCGCTGACGCGTCCTCGGCTTCAGTCTCCATCTCAGCTTCAGGTTCAGCCTGGGCTTCAGGTTCCGGCTCAACTTCAGCAGTAGCGGCTGCAGCCTCCGGCTCGATAGCTTCTATCTCTTCAACCTTGCTAGCGCTTTCCATAGATGCACGCGCCGCCAATGACGCCTTTGAAGGGCGTCCGCGTTTTCTACCAGTGCTTGCGCGAGCAGGCTTTGTTGTAATGACCGTGGCAGTGCTGATCTCATCCTCTTCAATTTCAGCAGGCTGCTCAAGGCGGCTGGGCTCTGCTGGAACCGCTAGCTCGTCTTCTTCGACGACCACTTTCGCGGCCTTGGCCTTCTGAGCCTTGGTCTGCTTGGACACTTTGCGGGGAGCTGCGGCCTTGCGCCCCTTCTTGGGGACTTCCAGCACCTCAGGTTCATCAATTGTCATTTCGGCCTCCAGTTGCTTCAGTTCGTCGTCAACATCGTTTTCGTCTGCCACGTACGGTTCCGCGTCGAACATCTCATGGTTATCTGACGGCTCAGGGCCGACGGCAGACTTGTTGCGCGCCTCGGTCTTCTTTGACTTTGCCTTGGGAACAGGGGCTTTCTTTCGTTCGGAATCAGAATCCTGCATGATATCCTCGTCGTCGGTCAGCGGACGCTCCAGGTCAGCCTCAAGCTGCCTGGTAATCTCGTCATCGTCCTCGGGAAATGCGCCGGGTGCAGTTCGCAGGGATGCCATTGATGCGTTTGAACTCTGTGAAGTCCCTGAGGCTTTCCGTGTTCCCTTTGTCCCAGACGCGCGTGCAGTCTTGCGACCTTTCGGTGCCTTCGTCGGCGGCGGCGCATCGGCAATGCTAATGTCCTGTTGTGATTGTTCGATGGTCGAGCTGTCAGCAGCAGCTTTGGGGCGACCGCGTCCTCCACGTTTCTTTGGTGCAGGTGCCTCAGAGACTGTGAGTGCCGAATCATCCACGTCGTCGCTCGTGCGCTTGCGCCCTCGAGTAGGTTTCGATGGGGGTAGCGCAATGTCTTCTTCCGGCATGGCCTCATCCTCGACAACTTCCACAGGCTCATCCTTCTTTGCCTTGGTCTTTCTACCTTTTGTCGTGGTGGCCTTCTTGGCACGGGTGCCTTTCTTGCTGCCCATTGTGGAGGTCGTTGTCAAGACGCTGTCGTCGAACTCCGCAGGAGCGTCTGTTATGGATGTGATGTCGGAAATCGATGTCGCGACTGATTGTACGGATAGCCTCGATGTGTTCTTTGAGCCTCGGGCTGCCTTGCCCTTCGGCTTCCTCGTGGAAGCGTATTGATTTACTAAAGCGAAGTACGGGCAGTTGGGGGATCGGTTGAAGTGTTCGTCCCTGTAACTGGGTCAGATAATGCTTGCGAACGCAACACTCAGGGGACGTACATGGGCTTGTCGTTTTGTTCCCAACCGTCCAAAGCAAGCTCGCAGTAGGTGCAGGTTGCCATATCGTTGTACTCGAGGGAAGGCGTGTATTTCCATCCTGCTTCGGCGAGCTAAGAGCTAGTTAGCAGAGGAAGGTCTGGTCGAAGTTCCATGACTGACCTGTTTGATCTTATTCTTCCAGCCTCTCTTTCCCTCGTGTGGCCAACGTCCATCAAAAGTCGCCTTTCTGGCCGCGATCATTCGAGTGCTAGCAGGGTCTTCGGATGACAAACCGTTGAGGTTGGCTTCGATACCCGCGACAATGGCCCACCCACATTCGGGAGAGTGCTTCAAGTGCTCCTCGAGAGGCTTGTCGCCCTCTTCCCAGCCATCGAGAGATTTGTTGCAAAGGAAGCATGCGACGTTATCGGGGTTTTCGGGGAACGGCCGCCAGACGAAACCTGCTTTTGCGAGCTGCGACAAGTTAGCACACGCGTCGTCTTCTGCTAAGCTCTCCCGGCTGCAGACATACATCTTCTGGCAGCAAGTATTTCATGTGCGGCCATGTGAGGTTTTTGCCACCTTTGGTCGCGCCTGATTGACGGCGCTTTGGTGCAGGGTAGACTTGATGGAAAGAGCCCAAGCGGCCATCCTGTGTGAAATATTCATTCGGGACTAAACCCTCAAAGGCCAAGTTTTCGGTCATGTTGCGCTATCTCTGGGCGTTATAGCACCTGTGAAGCTCAGGATTTGTGGAGAGTGAAGCTGGTCGCGATCCAGAGCGCGAACAGCTGCGCAAGAGAGATGTACAGGACGGACGCGTCGATCGCAGGGAGGAAATATTATTCGCGGCTAGAATGCATCGGGTCACAAGAGGTTGAGCTGTGGTCGCGTCGGTCTTCGAGGAGTAGGAATGGTCGAAAGGAAATATCGAGGGGAGCAATGTTTCTCAATCGTCGGTTGCGGGAGTGTAGCAACAGAATCAGAGTTGAGCAAACCAAGATTGGAGTGTGATGCGGCAGACGCCAAACCGTATTGGCCATCCCGATCGCGTTTGTTTACATTCAACCTCTGTTTCCGTTGCTAGCTGGTGGGTCCGGCGGGGTGTGGCTCAATCCTGCCCTGTCCCATTTGTGGCAGGTCCCTCAGCCACACTGGGTTAGTCATCAACTCCTGTCTCAATGTCGCACTTTGGACGTTGCACCAGGAAGCTTACTCGAGGCTAAGGTAAGTACGGTCTGTATTGGAATATTTCGTTCGGATCTGGAAACCATCCGTAACAATCTGAATCCCATATCTTTTCCCAAGATACCCTTGCCCGGTAAACAAGTTTTGTCTAGGGTAACCGAGTCTGTCTCGCAGGTTCCCAACCATGGATAATGAAGACAATCTCGTTAGGGCAGCAAGAGACCCTCGACAACGCATTTGTCGCCATTGGACCAATGCATCACCCATGTACCCTTCTTCATGCACCCATCTATCTCAAGCGGGTCCTCCATCTTTGAGCTATTTCCAGCAGTCTTGGGGGATCTTGCGGAATAGATCAATGGCGAAACCTGGAACATTCTCCAGCACTGGGTCCAGGTTCTTGTCTCTCATCATCCACTCCATGTCGGCCAGGCAGAAATGCACAAGCAATTTTCTGAGATCATCGTCTCGAGATTGGACATTCAAGTAAACGTGCCGGATAGTGTCGGTTGTGGCCCGTAGCATCTCGTCGGTGCGTGGAGCATGCAGCAGGCTCTGGCGAAGTTTGTGCAGGCAAAGTCTCTTGAGTTCAGTAATGGAGAACTTGTTTGCAACCAGGTAAAGCTTGGCGTGTGCAAGGAAGACTTCCTTATAGCCGGTCCGATGGTGTTGCTTGACGTCGTCTAGCCAGTCTTCAGTTGTCGCCTGGGCGGCTTCGGAGGGAATGGAAAAAAGCTCCTCGCAGAATTTGTACCGAGCACTTGTATGCTGCCGAGACTGTGAATCTCGCGAAGTACTCCTCATCCACATATATAATGACGGAATCTCAGGCTGCTGTGTGTTTTGTTCATTACTTGGTTTGCGGCGCTGCGATTCGACTTGAAAACTGTTCTTCGCTGTCGAGGTTCTCGTAATCCCGGCTGCGTATATGGTGCCGGCATCGCTCCCGGGACCAGGCATATCATTACTCCCATGCTTTCCCTTAACCACGTTGGAAGTGACGTTCTGGTTGGACTGAGAGAGGGCAGGCGCCGTATAGTCGCGGGAATAGGCATACTCCGTCAAGTTGACAAAAGTAGCTGGCTCAATGTCAGACCAGGTCACGAGAGATGAGTCTTTTCTATTGACGACTCGGTAGACGATGTCAACCCGGACAGCGGTTCTCCGTCTGATGAAGTTGTCGAAAGATGGGAATAAGCCAAGGAAGACAACTTCGTGGCCTGTATGTTTGATCCGATCTCTGCCGATCATAAACGTAAGGGCCCTAGACCGAAAGATCCTGCGGTCTCACGTGAGCTTGACTTAGTCGAGACGTGGAGTGGAGGGGTTCTTACTGGCTCATGTCCCGCTTGCGCTTCAGAGACATCGCGAGGAATAGTGTTGCTGCAGAGGCAAAGCTTTGCTGCGAAATCGCTGGAGTGAGAAAACTGTTAGAGGCTTGGAGACGAAGGGGGAAACAATTTTTGAAAGTCCGGGATTGATCAATTCCAAGGTGCCTAATGGTGTATGTTGAATAGGAGAACAAAAATACCTAAGTAAAGTGGGAGAGGAAAACTTTCTATGGAAGGTGGTGGTGGTTGAGATTCCATGTCCAGGTATGGAAGGAACGTGAGGCTCTCCGGGGTCTGCCCTCCTTTCAAGGGGGGGGTTCTCCAACATTCAGGAAATTCACGCTATCTCATAGACCTTAGAAAACAGGCAAGCTAGGAAGACCTCGGTTGAGCTTTGCATAAAGTAGACCGATAGTTCAAAGAAAAGAACAGGAGGGAAGAAAGTGCCTTGACCATAAGATAGGTAATACCTAAGGTAGTCATTTCCGGCATTGGACCATATGGGACAAGGCAAGGTATCTAGGTAGTCTCTATAACTCTGATTTGTTATTGCCTATAGCCAAACACGAATCATTGACGGTCTTCTGTTCCGAGGATCGGAACCATTACTGGCAGACTTCTTCTTTTGGTAATTAAAGGCTTATTTTTGGCATCCATTGCGCGATCCACCTGTGCGAGGAGATTTCTGCAATGTCCAAGATACTGTTCAGTTTGCCTTGAGTTTAGACTCCAGCCAAGCAATTGCCTGGGTGTCGTAATCCGAAGGATACGCCATGTGCGCGGTGAGGTTACTGCCGCTGGCATCGCATACTCCATCCTGGTAGTTACAGTAGTCGTGGACTCTGTTAGCGTAAAAGTTGAAGGAAGCAAGTTGTACAGCGGTACGAGGATATTTCTGCGGGCAGTGTTAGTCACGATAATCATTCAAAGCTTTTCCCAACGAGGTCAAAACTCACGCCGGTGGCACCAAACGTAGAAGCGTTGCCAACGTTGTAGGTCTGATTCGGCATGTGTCGGGGGTTGCCGTACAGCAAGATCGCTGCGACTGGACAACGATGTCAGCAGGTTATCCTTAAACCAAACTTTATAGTCAGCCTTACTGTGGTCTCCAACAGTGCGAGCATCGACCAGAGGCTTGGTGTAGTTGCCCAGAATATTGCCATCGCCACCGCCAGCCAAAACATCTCCAAGAACCATGGCGCCCTGGGAATATCCCATCAAGACGATTTTGGACTCGGGGCAAGCCTCTGCGTAAGAGATGATTTGCTTGGCGCCATCCCGAACTCCAACAAAGTAGCTGTCGCTTCCAGTCTCGTCCGTGGCCGGGTAAACAATATCCTCATAGTTGCTGTTGGGAAAAGCCTCCATCAGCGGGTCAATAACCGTGATCAAGCTTCCGGGATAGGACAAAGTTGTGCCTCGGGCCTCAAAGTAGTGGATGTCAGCGCAAGTGGTGTTGAGGGTTTGTCGGCTGGCGAGAGGAACTTTGCTGCCTTGCACAAGAGCCGGCAACGTGCAAGCAATGGCGGCAGCCTTGACCAAGCGAGACATAGCTGAAGATATGACTAAGAACAAATGTCGCCAGTAGTGAGCTGCCGGGTCATGAGTCCTTGGCGAGAAAGATGACTTATATACATGATGAGTTACTGGGTTCTCCTGACTTTCCGGCAAGTCGACCATGTGGAAACGTTGACACTTTTGTGGCTCTCGGCGGTGCCACGCACTCCCCCCCGCCATTCCAGATTAACGGACTTGGCTTTCACCGTTCGTGGATCTGTGGGGCAGATCCGAACGCCGACATGTCACCCCAGGCACGGACGTTTACCTGGATCGGCTCTGGAGATCGAAACTTCTCGGCCGAGTACTGCCTGCGGCGTCGTTTTGTTCAGTAATCATCTGGGTAAGAAGTTGAGGAAGTATCCGTAGACTAGTATCCGCCCAGGAAGGCGTTTAGCAAAATCAAAATGATACGGGCGGGCTCGTTGCATTCATTGACGTACTAGAATTAAGATGAAGACATCTCTTGAAGCTTGTTATGGAACCTTCTCTTGCCAAAATAATTACCAGCCAAATACCAGTTGCAAGGTCTTTCTTTGTTTGGTACCTCCAGGTATGGCGAGCCATGTCCTTGACAATAGAACAATTGGGTAATTCCTCTTTGGAGGGCCTAGGCAAGGTAAAGCTACTCATCTTGAAAGCCGCGTCTTAGGTAGTGATAGCGGGGTTGATTCTGAAATATTGGAGTTTGAAAGAATTTTGGGATATTACCAGTGCCGTCTACAGAAGTGAGTCGAGGCTACCCTAAGTACAGTACCTGCCTTGCCTGGTAAGGTTATCAGTTGTATTCCGCAAAGAAAGCCATCTGAGAAAGAGCGATTGAGGTTTTCATCTATTGTTGCTTTTACTGGCATAACCAGTTTTTGCAGCTGCAAAGAGAAGGAGGCGAATATCACTACGTAAAATCATCCAGCTACGCCGACACTGCACCCTCCTACTTCAACCCTCCACTCGTCAACCTGAATTCCCGGCCAACGACCTTTTACAGATGAGGCTCCCTTGGGCAGAAAGACATCATTACTACTCCTACCTCATACTCGCCGAATTTATCAAATATCCCTTGCGAACGCCAACCAGAGTCGCCAAGTATACTGCGCATCGCAAACATGCTTGGCAAGCGGAAAGAGTTCGACACATTCGAGGCCTTGGATGAGTACATGCAACCCCACCACCTTCCGATTTCATCTACTCTTGCTAACATACGATCAAGAGTAATCCAGTCCAGGAGCATCAAGTTCATTGTCGGTCCGGAGAAGAAAGAATACACCGTTCATGAATCCCGCTTCGCCAACCTTTGGCCACCCCTGCGCGCCCTCCTAACGGGAGGCTTTTAAGAGTCCAGGGAGGGCAAGGTCGTCTGGGACGATACTGATCCAGTCACTTTCGTCCTACTGGTTCAATATGCCTACCGTGGTGAATATTCACTGCCGGTCTCCAAAGCTGTGGCTACGATCCATGAAGAGAATGAGCCTCCTGAAGATAGCGACGCCCTCAAGAGCTTGCCCCGTTCAATGCAAGGGTACTTCTGGGCTGCCGAACACAGAGGCTCACAACATCACTTTGTGAATGAGAAATTTTCCCTCAAGAGAGCTGCGAAATGAAGCCACGTATGGGACCGGAATATCAATCCCTGTTCAAGAAGTTTACCGACAGTGAGGAATATGAGAAGGCTTGCCGGCATGTTGAATACTTGAGGCCAATGTACATGCACCACGTTCAGCTTTACTTTCCGGCCGACAAGCACACAATCGAAGATCTCAAGTTGCTTTGCTTGAAGAAGATCCGACATTTCCTATCGAAGTGTCCCGGAACCTTCCAACTAAAGACCATCCTTCTCGAATCCGTGCCGGTCATCTATTCATGGACAGTCCCCGGAGACTTGTTACGGAGAATTGTTATACAGTACTTCCTCGCCAATATGAATTGGATTGATACCGGTACGAGGTTCAAGGCACTACGAAGAAGCACGCCTGAATTCGGGCTTGACTTGCTCGACGAGATTCCCCACAGCTACTGGATGGAGTTGAGTGAGGGTCATAAGCAACGCGAAACTGATGGATGGGAAGACTAGGTTTAACATCAAACAACAAGGCGGACGGAGATTGCATAAAGCGGAGATTGGCTTACGACCCTTTAGAACATCACCAATGTTGTTTTTGAATTAATTTCTGGGCTGTGCTAAAGAAGGAGAGGAGGGCTGGGCATAAGTTGCATTCTTCATTGCGCATCACGTCAAGGCCAGGGCACTAGAGATTAACGAAGTGGATTTCTAGCACGAATACAACACGTGGTATGCATTACTACAGCTGTTCCATGTGTGAACACTATATAACGTGTAACTCAAAACATGATAGTATGAACTTCATCATCATCCATGCATAGATATTGATGACGAAATAACGTCAGGGACAAACACGACTTGCCCTCCTGCGCCAGCACCCATAGATCCTGAAATGAATCCTCCCACAGATTTGAGAAAGACCCTTCAAACTTGGCTCTTTTCGCTCTTTCCACGAATCACTCTGCTGAGATCTCCAACAGGAAGCTCCAAGGGAAAGTCGAGCGAAGCCAAGAGAATGGCAAAGATGAGCCACCAACCAGCGGCACAAGTTACAAAGGCGCAAGCACCGGCAGCCTACAAGATGGTATCAGTACCGCTTTACTTCCTCGCACGTTTCACCCCTCAAGACTTACCTGGAGCAGTTTTGCGGCATAAGCAGCATTGCTAGTGTAATCCATGGCAAGGAACCAATACGCGGCCGTAATCAACCCGAAAGCGGCAACGAGCGTCAAGAAGATGACGAAGAAGACAATATTCGTTCGAAGCGAGCAAATGAGGAAGACAACGCAGATCAAGCCCATCGCGAGGGTGATGAAGCCTGTTCATTGACCTATGTTAGTTCCAATCCATAATGATATGGAAGCAGGATGACGGGCAATGACTGACCAAAACTAGCATTGAACCCTTGCGTCGTCAACCCCTCGGCCCCAGACGTCGCGTTCGCGGGAGCGTACGATGAGAAGGCGGCGAAGGAGGGGTTCAGGGTCGCGCCAAAGGTGAACCAGAAGGAGGAGAAGGTGAGGAAGACGACGGAGGGGAAGGTGTTGCCGAGGACCCATTCGAGGAGGCCGCCTACGAACATGAGGAGACCGCCGAAGAAGAAGTATGAGCCGCTGTGAAGGAAGACGTGTGAGTTTGAGAGGCGTCTTGGTGAGAAGGGAGTGTTGTGGGATGACTTACATGCCTGCCGCACCGCTTCCACCTGCTCCTCTCCAACCCATCAAGTCACAAGCGAGAGGCGTCAATGAGATGAGGAATCCAACAATAGCGCTGTGTGAGTGTCAGCCAATGCCAATTGACCGATGATCATCTACCAAGGTATGGGGTTTCTCACATTGGAGTCGGGTTACCAAAGGTCTTGCGCAGATCCCCCTTAACATTATTCTGCGGCGACAGATACAGCTTCTCAAACAGCTC